GCCATGCAGCACGCCCTGCTGATGCAAGGCCACGCCATGCTGAGGTTCCTTGAGAAAACAGTAGACGATAAAGAATCAAAATGGTCCGAATTTTTTTTTTTTTTACAGGATGCTGTTTACGATGGAGGCGAGTCCGTATCCGAGTTGAGTCCAATGTTGTTCAGGTTTGATTAAAATAAACGCAAATCCATCGCACTTCTAAAGTGCACGCATGCATTGCCAATCCTTTCACCTTTAAAAATCTATCGTAATGAGAGTTTTCTGCTCGGATGTCGTCTGTGTCCGTATCCTCTGTGCTACATCACTCCACGCCACACTGCAAGGGAAAAACGGCCCCGCCCTCACCCGCTCAGAATCGGGAGACACAAACCGGAATAATGAGATCAAGTTAAACATTTAAAGCTGATTTCCGGTTGTACCATCTGAAATTGTTAATATTTTAAGACCGAAATGGGGAGAAACACGAACCTTATGAGATCCATTTTATTTTTATCAAATATGTTCATGCCTTTAGCTATTTGAATTTAAATAACTGTACAGCATAACTCCCAATTCGCGTCGGGCAAATGAACTTTGTTTTTAATCATAAAACTATTTCCGGTTAAAAACTGACAACTCCAGAAACTTGATTAACGCAAGGTGCCTTTAGAACGTACCCTTCAAACTGATGAGCGGGGGGATAATCAATATTTATGAAACTCGCAATGACGAAATAATTACTTACATCTCTGGATATTACGTTTATTCCGTATATAGAGTGTGCTTGTATGCAATTGTATGTGTAAATAAATTCATAGCATATGTTGAGACCATAACATTTTTAGGCAAAAACACAAGCAGGTTGGCAATAAGTAGTTTTTATGTCTTCGAAGGTATATATGCACACAACTGATCGTAAAAATGCAAATATGAGCAGAGATTTACTGTCTTCATGTCCACATTAATTAACCAGTATCATTTTCAATCACTGTGCCATGGCACATGGAACTGTAACTGGTTGGAAATGTCTTATCTATTTACAAAAAAAAAGTATATTTATTCATCTACCTATATGCCAGCGATGTATTGTTGTAGGCAGAAGTAAGCTATTTCTCTTCCACAAGATGGCAAAGGTGGTGGTTCCCTGCATTCATACAGCATAGCTTTGACTTCAACTAAAAAGGCCCATATTTACTCCTGTAACCAAACCTAATTTTCTTCTTTGTTTTATTTACACAGTCAATGTTGCTTCTCTTCATGTTGTCTTTTTTTTTCTTATTTATGTATTTGTTTATGTGCTTGCGGTAGAATGAGAGGTCATACAGAAAAAGACACAAAATGTTTATTTTTCCTTATTGTCAATTGAATCAATACATTAAAAAAAGAGGAAGTTTGCTAAACATTTTGTTGCCTTGTTTTTCAATGGTAACTGATATGTGCGTGTGTGCACTAAATATGTAAATGCAAATGGTAAATATGTATAAATGGTGAAAAGCGATCGTATGCAAAATGCCAGCAAATAATGACACAGATACAAAATCAGAGTAGTATTTTGATTTCACTTTCCAAGGCCCCACTTCATTTTTTTTTACATTATTGGCGATTTTTCCGTCACCTAGGATGGCCATATAACATAGCATTTCCCACTTTTCTTTGTTTGAAAACAGTTCTAAAGCGTTTGAAACTACTTATGTGCAATTATCATCTTTGCTCATCTTGAGATGCAGTTTTCTCTTTTCTCAGCCAGATGGTGCTGCCTTGACAGAGACGGACATTTTCAGTCTGATGAAGCCTGCCCTTTGCCACAGTGAGAGTATACAAAAAGAGCCAAAGCAGGAGAATCTTATTGCTCAGTGCTAATATACGCTCACTTTTGAATGTTCTGTCTTGTTTCGTGACTTTCTGGGTCAAAGACCAGATGTGGTGTGATATGGTAAGTGCGATTTATCAAATCCTACACTGAGTGTCTGAGATAAGACAGTCAATCAGGAGGTGATGAAAGCAAGGGCAGACTTTGGACCTTCATCATTGCCTTCTTTTCCTTCCCACCAGCTGCGGTTCTGCAAGTTGCCTGTCTTTCCTTCGAGCAATATGAAGATTGATTTTGCCCCAGTCGGCGTGCCCCTCCACAGGAGACTACAGACCGTCGCCGTGCTGCAATGGGTTTTCTCTTTCCTTGCCTTGGGTAAGTGTAATTTATCACATTTCTGGCTATGCGCATTGTTGAGTCCAGTGACTGGCATGACCTGAATTTAATATACTAATACTAGTCTTCTACTGTTAACCCTTTCATGACAACCTGTAATCTGATAACATGATAAGATGTCCACTGTAGTAACCACTGTGCCTGAAAAGGCAAATTTTTTTAGATGACACTGTTTCGGTTCAAAGGCTTCATCAAATGTGTTTTGCAGCTATGTAGTGTGAGTGGAAGTTTCTCACTTGTGCTAAGTCTCTTCCAACAAAGTATCAAGGCAATTTTGCAACTTTGTGTCCAAGAGAGGGAGCCAAACAGCACCTTGCATATTCATGGTTCAGTATTTGTGAATTCAACTATGTGCAGATTATTTTGGGGGAAATTGTCCCCCGCTTTTCACTGTTAAAAAAAAAAAAAGTACCCCAAAAAACTCAACTATTTGCTGTTTTGTTGGTCTGGCCAAAGCAATGAAAAAATTACTTTGCCACCATCTTGTGGCATCTTGGTGCCATGGAATTGAGGAAGCGTTGAGGAATTTGTGGTGATTTTCCCTTATCGCGAGTGTGAGATTAACATGACGCAATGAGATACGGCAAATGGTTGTAACTGCAGCGTCACATTGTGCAATCATGCCTCTTTCTCCTCAGGCCACTTCTGATGGCCTACTTATGCTGCGCTAGCCATTTGCCCTCCATTATTCCCATTCGGGGGAAAAGGAGGATCAATTCAGTATAATTTGTTGACAGTATGGACCTCCAACGGGCTTTAAACATGTAATATACATATCTTTGTCTCCCCAGCACCCACGTGCATCTTCCTGTTCATCTACCTGCTGTTTACGCGTTACTGGTTGATCAGCGTGCTCTACTCCATCTGGTGGTTCTTTGACTATGACACTCCCGCACGCGGAGGGCGTAGGATGTCCTGCTTGTGCGGAATCAAAGTCTGGGACTACATGCGGGATTACTTCCCCATCAAGGTGAGATGTAGAATGCTGCTGTTGATGATAAGACACGTATTCAAACAATCTTCCGGATCGATATTTTGGGTAAGCTTTACCCTCAGCATTTCCGAGCAAATTACTTTGGATTTATCTAATCTGATCTCCCATCAAGAAGTGTCCTTAACTATGTCCTTGCTAGCAAGTGACGTCCCCTTTATTCCTGTAGACTGTGTATGTGTTTCAAATACATCAGAGAATCAGTATTTATCAATATATAATAAATATATAATACTCGCCGGAGATTTAGATTTTTAAGTATATTAATGACTTGTGGATCACTTTGGCTCGTCGAACTTGGCTTGCTCTGACAAAAACAATCAGAGGATGGAAAGACACTTATCCGCTTATCCTCACAAAGGTCGAGGGGCGTGGTGGAACCCAGCTGTCTTCGGGCAGTGGGCGGGGTACACCTTGAACTGATTGCCAGACAATTGCAAGGCATACACAGACGAACAAGCATTTCTGCTCACAATCACACCTATGGACAATTTAGAGTGTTCCATTAACCTGCCATGCATGTTTATGGAATGTGGGAGGAAAGTGGAGTACCCGGAGAAAACCCACGCAGGCATGGGGACAACATGCAAACTCTACACAGGAAAGACGGAACTGGAATACAACCCTGCACCTCTGCACTGTGAGGCCGACATGCAAACCAGTCAACGACCAGGCCGCCCTGTATAGCGATGTGCTTGGAATAAATGCTATTTCTGAAGAGAGGGTGTGCGAATGCATTTTATCAAACCAGCCTATCAAAGGTGAAACACGTGGTTCAGTGGCAAAGTGGTTGTTTCTCAACCTGAAGGTTGTGGGTTAGATCTCGTGCTGTTGTGATCATGTTGAACTTTCCTTGACCAAGATACTGAACCCCGAGTTGCTCCTGATGCTGCGTCGTCAGTTGGTAAATGAGTAAACAGTGTTTAAGAGTTTTGACTACCCGAGGTAGAAAAGTACAACAAGTGAAAGCCTGTTTTAAAAGTTCTATTTAAATGGCAAGTTGTACAAAAGTCAATAAGTTCGTTGGACTTTTAACTATGAGTAGCAGGAATGCAGAGATGGGCGTTAGTTTAATAAGGTAAATCAAGTTTTCATGCTCTTATAAGGTATTATAATTCTTGGTTTTAACTTTTTGAAAATGAAATAAACTTTCCCGACTTGTCAAACAATATTGTGATAACCAGAACGTCGTCACAATATTGATTTGATGAACTTCAGCTTTTGCGTTGAAACAAAGATTATCCTTGATTTTGAGCTAACTTCTGTTTTCAAGGCATCTTTTGGAATGACATTTGCAAGCAGAACAAACTTCAAATGTTTGACAGGGTCTTGGTCCATGTCCTTTTTGATGAAAGAAAATATTACAGCAAGCGTAAAAATATTCATTTAGAGGCTCCTGCTTGATGAAAGCTAACTTTGTAAATGAGGGACACAATTGTCGGGTTTGGACAGAAGGTTTTGTGTCCATTTCTTTACCGCATGAAAAAGGCCCAGGCGGTCACGAGGCAAACAATTATGCATAACGGCCACATCTTAAAGCTTCGAGAGAGAAGCTGCGTTCATTCCAAATGCCAAATAAGACCAATCAGATACTATTACAGTAATTGTAGACAATTATACATGACTGAGTTCTCTTCAAATACTCCAAAAAAAACCCAACAAAATATTAAAGATCAATAATACAAAGGTATTATGAGACACTAGTTTTGAATTGTAAATAAAAAAAAAAAAATAAGGAGACCATCCAAGTGCTGCAGCGTTACTACACTGCTGTCTGTCTTGCATAATGCTGTCCTGGCCGCTCTCCACTCATTTTATACCCAACTGTCACCGAGCTCGAATTTCACTCGCTAGAGGAAGTATGCCATCGATCTGCGCCTCTCGCCCTTCACCTATGCCTGCATGAAGTGAAAAAGGCAGATTTCAATTTGGTGTGTTTCAATATTTCTCCCATTATCTTTGTGAACATTTGGTGTTCAGAAGCATTGCTCAAACGCTTTCATCTTTCTGAATGAGACAATTGGGTCTGACGGAATGACATAGTTCAACAGTTCTCGTTTTATTTATCTTTGTATGATTAGCCCTGAACCAATTGCAAGGAAAGATAATCATCTGGCCCGGAACCGAAAACAAGCTCGGGCCTTGCAATTCTGTAAGGTTCGCTTCCTCGTTTAGCCTGTTGTGTCCCTCTTGTGGTCAAGAACTAGTAATGCATGCTGTATATTTATATTTTTTTTGTGGATGACAGCTTTTGAGCCAATACTTGATGCTACACTTGATGTTATGTTTGAAATTGGGCTTTCGACACTGAAAGCACAGTTTGTGACAGGTTTGCGGAGAACATACAGGTCATTCTGCAAACCAAATCAAATAGTTTTTATTGGTCTTATAGCATGTTGCTGTATGGTATCTCCCGCATATGAAAAAGGCAATCGAAAAAAAAAGAAAAAAAATCGTATCCATTATTTTGTTACAACAATGGCAGTTTTAATTTTATGAGGGAAAAGTTTGTAAAGGTACAATTTAAAAAGGTTGTTGTTTTACATAAATAAATAATAAATACATACAATTTATACTTTAGTACTGTACAAGTTTTAAAAGTGACACCTTTAAAGTGATTTTTTGTCGTTGCATTTTTCCCATCATCAAACAATGGGTTTAAACCTACATTTCATTTTAAACTGTCTAATTGAATTTGTAATTTTTTGGACCCCTTCCTACCTTAACAATTAATTGCCAATTACAAATATGAAAAACCTGTAAACATGAATCAGTAAATCATTTTAATCTTCAATGTAATTTTTTGGACCCCTTCCTACCTTAACAATTAATTGCCAATTACAAATATGAAAAACCTGTAAACATGAATCAGTAAATCATTTTCTTATCTTCTAGTTAGTTTATTCAGTTGATCCATTTTAGATGAGATGATAAAAAAATGTTTTTTTCTTGACTTCAACATATGTGGTTTTCCACATGTGAGAAGAACTCCCCCTTTTCTTTTCTTTTTTCTTTTCTTTTTGACATGCCCTTGTCATGCCAATGGTTAGCATCAATTCTTGCAGTTTTAGAAGCAATGAATATTTCAACACAAATAGTGGAGCAAAACTTGAAGACAGGTAATTTAACAATACTCAAATGTATATATTCTTTATCCTCAATGAAAAATGACTAATGTAGATTCCTACTGAGTCATTTATAGTAGCAGTAGTGGTAAAAGAAGTAGTATTCCTCTTTGTTTGATTTGGATGACTGCATGGCTGTATCATACTCCCACCTGGTTTTACATTTTAAATTGTCATTTACATTTACATTTAAATGTTTGATATTGTCCTGCCACAATTCTTGCATCCTCTCGTGCACTGAATCAAGCAAATGCTGAAAGTTCTCTTTGGAGATGTCACATGTCGTTTTTAGTTTGGATTTGAAGCATATCATTTGTGGCACCAACTTCTGGAACATTTCTGGGACACTTTGTACAGTGTAAAATTAAAATAACGTGCCAATCGCAATTCTGAAGTTTATTAATGAAGTTCAAAATTTCCAGCCTTGAAAGCTCAGTTCTCCCACGTTGCATTATCCATGTGTTATTTCCAGTATCATCTGACTCCATGTGGAAAAGAGAAGGAGTGTTCTTTTCAATTCATTTCATTGGTGTCTTTTAACCGCTGTTTCTAATGATACCGTGATCAGGTTTTGACGAAACCAGCTGATGCATGATCACTGAAGCCTTCTTTTGAGAGAAGAAAAGAAGAGATTGTCCCCGAGAGCTGTTCGAAAATTCCCTCTCATTAACTGCGCCTTCGTTACTTGTGTTTTTAGTTATGTAGTGGATGTACTTCCTATATCTGTAGATGCTGTATGACATCTGCTTGTCCAGTGTCATGTGCGAAATGGCACGAAGTCAAACAGTTGAAAGGAAAGGCCGTGAAGGATTTGGTCATCTTAGGCAGGATACATAACTCAGGCCAAATGAACACAACTTTACTTACAGAGCACTTTAAAAACAACTGCAGCTGAATATAAAGTGCTGTACAGAAAGTAGAAATCAGCCATATAAGAATAAATAGCTACAAAACAGTCAACAGAGTAAAACATGAATATAATGCCGAGTTGTTGGCCAAAGACTAAAAATATGAGTTGAGTTTTAACCCTGGAAGGGGCTTGCCTATACGTTTAACGCGAAACCAATTCAAAGAGCTGAATCCCCTTTGAACCTTCGTTTAGTTCTCGGTACCTCCAGTAGCGTCTAGCCCGCTGACCTGAGGCACGGGGCAGATAAAGAGAGGTGGAGAAACTCAGAGAAGTACGCTGGGGTGAGACTATTTCAAGATTAAAGACAAATAAAAGAATCTTAAAATGAGTACATGCGATACTGCATATTTTTGCATCAATCTGATACCACTTAAATACAGGGCCAATATCGCCGATACAGATACTTTTTTTTTATACTTTATTACTTTAGATTGATTCATCATCAAATTACTAAATGTCAATAATTTTCATGACCTTTAACTGATTCATCAACGATTTTATTGAGACGACAAGTTGAAAAAGTCTAAATGACAAATGTTAGAGAGATCTTTTGATTACAAACAACATCAGGATCTGTAACTGGAACTCAAACCAATGATTAACCCAGTTTGAGGCCAGCTGCTAATGCCGCACAACACAAACAATGTGGAACTAAACCAACACACCATCTCTGAAATCTCTCGACGAGAAAAATCATTGAAAAAAAAGTGGAAGTGTCGTTTAGCATTAGAATGAATTGAGAATAAAAAAAGGTATCAAATAAACCTCCCCTTCGCATTTGAAAAAAAAAAAAAAACGCATCACATGAAGATTTGAGATGATATCTTGGCTCCCAATCAAATCCGACCCGATGAGCACCTTAACCTTGAATTACTGTACGAATCTCAGCAAGTCAGTGAGTGGAGCTGATTGTTTTTCCACAAAGGTGCTGCAAAACAAAGTACACGAGGACAGATCTGATAGTGACCTGCAGTGCCAGCTCTATCTCTTCTGCTGGGCTCAGTGAAACATGTAAACACTCCTTAGATTAGATATCTCACATCTTACTGTGTTGATCATGAGAGAAAACACTACCTGTTTTGCAGAATTCATTCAATGTCCTGTCCAAAGTACGTGTTTGTAAAATAAAGATTTCCTACTTCAATGCATAAAATACATTTCGTGTGTCACACTCACAACATTAAGATCTTGCATAAGAATAAAATCGGTCACAAAACTGCTTTATGCAGATAATTGAAATGACGCTCGGTACAAGGAAGAATTCCGACAAGGGAATTTCTCCGTTGTGGGACAAATAAATGTTTTCTTATCTCATCCTATCTTAAGTCCAAAAAAAAAAAAAAGTATAGTCTGTATTGCCTTTTTATAATATGACAACAGTTCTTGATGATTTGTTAAAACACCCCACTGACCACGAGAGTCCAATAACGTCGATCTGTCGATCAGGTAGCCGCTATTTATTTATTTATTTTATTAGGGTTGTTATTGACTCTTTTTCACAAAAATGATAACTAACTAACAAACTGTGATGAAAATATCACCAGTTTGACTGACACTGGCAGGTATTGTTACTAAACCAATTGTAAATGGAGTGACAAAAAAACAACATTTTATAATAGTTTCTATTGACTTGTTTTTTTAAAAACATGAAATAGCATTAATAAAATAAGGCATGTATGATTCGGGGAAAGTGCAGAGTTTTACAAAATTCAAAATGAATATGATGCTGTTCAATACATCGCAATATCTACAACAATCACTGCACGTATATACTGTATGTACTGTATATATAATGGAAAGGTAGTCGGATATTGTTGATTGCAGCATGGAAGAGTTCAAAGAGCAAAAAGGGCTGATAAAACAAGGAGAAGCTCAACACAGCCAATTTCAGGAATAACTCCTTCAGCACTGTCGTACAATATTCCACATGAAAAAAAAAGTCGAACAGTTCAAAAATATGTCTCTGTTTTCATTTTTCCCCAGTTGCTGAAGACAGCTGACCTGGACCCTCGACACAACTACATACTGGGCTTTCACCCCCATGGAGTCCTGGTGGCAGGAGCCTTTACCAATTTCTGCACCCATTCCACAGGCTTCAAGCAATTATTTCCAGGCCTCACCAGCTACCTGCTCATGCTGCCCCTTTGGTTTCGAGCCCCATTCTTCAGAGACTACATAATGTGTGCAGGTTTGCTGCACTATTTCAATTCTACTGGGGATGCATACATACCAATATTGTGTGTCTTGAACTCATCCTTAGACTCAAATCCCGCCCCCCCAAACAAACTTGAATACCACGATACTGACCATTTACCAGCCTGAGATTTAGCTTCCGGAGCAGGCGGCATCGAGGCCATGTCAGCCTTTTGCATGAATGGCTGAAGCCTACTCTGTTGAGAAGCGTCACGTCTTTGATGACAAACAGAATAGTCCAGTTGCGCTACAGTCTTCTTCGTTTGGTCGCTATGTACGCCTTTGACATAGTGCATGTATTGTTCAGACTGAGATAAATGCCTTGTGTGACAGGCTCCATTTCGGGAAAATGTGTGGCAAGAAAATTAGAAATACCATGCAGCTGAATGTTAAAAGGGAAGTCAAGTCAATAAAAATATTTACAGTCATATGTTCCATGCGCCCGCCCCCGTCCGGTCGAAACTCACCATTCTGATTAATATTTCGTGTGTGCGGTATAAATTAAGAAGCAAAAATCTAGCCATTCTTAATCCATCTCAGAAAGCGGCCATTTTGCCACTTTCTGGCGACAAAAAATGAAATCACAGTTGCTCGGTGCACAAGGTAACGACTAATCACGTCACACCTGTTTTCAGAGGTTGGTCATGCATCATTCACAAGCTGAGCCGTGATTGGTCGTTACGTGAGCCCTGAGCAACTGTGGTGTCATTTACAGGACGACAGGAAGTGGCAAAATGGCCGCCCGCTGAGATGGATACAAGGGATTGATTTTGCTTGTTTGAAATGATGTCGGCCTTGTAGCGCTGCTCCTTCTTTGGAATGAGTGTCACAAGAAATCCCCAAAAAGAGATCATCAAATGCACTGACCTAATCACTTCATTTTCACTGAACTCAATTGTCACGAGCCCTGCGAAGGTTGTATTTTTTTTTTTTTTTTGCGGTATGCCAATGTTTCATAAGCTTTCATTTTGACGTCATACTTGATGCTTATAAAGTTGCAAAACGTGTCCAATAAGAATCAGTCGATGCTTGCGTGTACAACCTCTGGGCTATTAGATGTTCCGCTACATTTAAGTAATACTTTCCTTCATTGCCACAGATTGCGTAGTTACCCTTATTGCCATGCTGCAGGTCTGATTCCATCTGATAAAGAGAGTGCCAGTTATCCACTGCGGCAGAGGGGTGGTGGAAATGCTGTTGTAATCGCTGTTGGTGGAGCTCCAGAGGCCCTCGATGCCCACCCCGGAACGTACAATGTACTCTTGGCTAAGAAGAAAGGTTTTATTAAAATGGCAATGGAACACGGGTAAGTGCCTGATTTTCCGAGCTTCTGTGGCTGACTGACATGATTGTATCAGTCTATTCATTTCATGCCTTTTGTGGCTTGAGTGTAAACTTGTGAAAGAGAGGCTTATTCAAGTCACAATGTTTCCTGGGACAGCTTGTCATATGATTTGAGATCGATTGTGACTAAGCAGTAAAGATCTCAAGTGATTAATAATATTAACTCGTCGTGAAACGTTTTTATGTATTTTTTTTCTTCAGAGCTCACCTTGTTCCAGTCTTCTCTTTTGGTGAGAATGAGGTGTTTGATCAAGTGGGGAACTCAAAAGGAACCTGGCTTCGAAGTGTACAGGAACAGCTGCAAAGAATCATGGGTATCTCCCTGCCACTCTTCCATGCTCGTGGGATTTTCCAATACTCCTTTGGACTCATGCCATACAGAAAACCCATCCATACCATTGGTGAGTGGACAAAGCTAGACTTTGACTGATTTGACCTATAAACTGTGGGCACCAATGCCAACAGCGCCCGCAGTGCGTGACGCGGGCCAACAATAGGTCACTGGATGAGCTTTGAACATTGGCCCAGCCAACTTGGCTGGCGATATCCTGACCTACAGTCTCATGTATTTCCCAACCTGATGTTGGCAGAGGGACATAACGAATTTGCACGTTATAACGGGAGATCGTCATAACCGTTTCCAATAAAATGGCCGCCAACTATGATGTTTAACATTTATAGATGTAAAAACGTGAACATGTAACACAGTGTAAATATGTCAATTACAAATATGTGTATATGAAAATATGATTTTTATAAGACATGAAACAAAGAACTGTAGCGTTCCTACTTCATCTCTGAAAAAATTCCGTCTGCAAATGGGCAACAGCCAGCCACCGACAATTTAGGATGTGCCACACCCTGAAGCCGTTTACGATCGTCTTTCAATCTCTTGGCCTCGAACTCTTCCATGATTTTGTTGACATTACGTATGACTGTTGAAATGGTCGACTTTGCCAATTTGAAGCCTCGGTTGAGCTTCATCGGGGAGACTCCCTTTTGAAAGCGAGAGACAATTTCAGCCTCCACAGAGAGCGAGATTTGCTTCCGTTTACCAGACATGTTTTCAGACTATGTGTGCAGTGCCTCCGGAAGCACAACAATGTACGAGGCGATCAGTCGCGTTGCTAAGCAACGGAAGGGAATTTCGCATTGTGCGATTTCTTTCATAAGCAAGGTCGCGGCGGCAGTTAGCTTCCAATGGTTCGTTGGAACACAGACCTTTTCACTATTTTACTGTAAAAATCCGGTCGTTTTATCAAGTTTACATTATAAGGTGTTGATTGAACTCAGGACTTTGAAATGTAAACATTGTAGCTGTGAAAACATGATAAACTAGGTACTTTGACACAAGGTTCAACCATATGTTAACATTTTATTTCTATACATCACAAGTGTTTAACATTTTCAAATGACAACCATCCAAGGAAATCACTGGTGAGCTATATTTTGAACCGGCCTGCTACTTTATGTGGTCCTTGGGAGCTTCCTGGTGCCCAACGGGCACCACGTTGGTGACCCAGCTCTAGACTGAGGGGCAGGGGTCAACATCATTTTTGGAACGGAGAGCTATTTCTTGGGTACTGATGAATGCGGAGGGCAGTTTGATACACAGTTCTGAATGAACAAACTTGCTCAAATTACTTTTACATGTTCCTGGTTACAATATGTGATATTCATTTACATAAAGCCATTCTTTATGATAATTAGGAATCAGAAATATGGTATGCAACCCTTTTTTTCTTTTACCCTTTCAGGGACAGCGGTTACCACAGTGGATAGCTGATTATGTTATCAGGTTACAGGTTATCATTATTGTTGCATGAAAGGGCTGCATCTGTGCTAGTGTTGACATTTTCAAACTATCATATCAAATCTCAGACAATATAGTGTCGTGTCATTGGTCAGCTGTTTTTAGAACAGGCCACTGCGCTTGGGTTTACATCGAAGCAATTGAGTGTTCAGTGTGAGGCGCACATCACTTTCATTTAAACAGTTGCAATTTGTTACTTGTGTGCAGTCGGGCGGCCCATCAGAGTGAAGAGAAACGAGAAGCCAACGATGGAGGAGCTCGATGCCCTTCACCAGTTGTACATGGACGAGCTCAGCCAACTCTTTGAGCAGCACAAGACCAACTACGGCGTGGATAAAGACACACATCTGAACTTTGTCTGAACAGGGACAAATTTTACGTTGCTATTTATTTTGCAAAGTTGAGAAAAAAAGCATTTGATTGGCTCTATAACCCCAAATTTATTCCGGCATGGTACTGAAGGGTAAATAAAATGATTTTGTCTATGCAACTATAGGTGCCCTGCTCTATGTGTAGAAGATATAAGTTTCAACAATGACATTACATCAAGACTTTTTTTGTATGAGGTTCTTTTTGTAAAATGACACAAATATCTGCATTGTTACACAAGTTTAGGTTTCCTCTCTCTCAGTTAAAGCAACTGTCTCGGTATTTGGTATTTGGTCCTAGCCATCATTAAAGACAGTGTCATGAAAGAAGTTTCTTAAACAGAAACAGATTTGCATTTTTCTACAACGATCACTGCCGTTTTGTTAACTGCTGATCCCTGATTTATTTGTGATACTTAAAAATATCTTAATAATTTGACAAACAATTTTTTTTTAAATTGTTGAAAATTGTAAAACATCTCCAAATCAAAACTGCCTGATTTTATTCATGATTTCCATTACACTTTTTAGACCAGCTCCACAAATCTTATCAGAACACAATGACAACGAGGTTAGTGAGGCATCATTCAACCAAATATATGTGTCCTGGTTATTATTTAATTACTGTAGTGCCTACAAAGCAACGATTCTGGTGTTGGACCAGGTCCCCAAATGATAAGACTGCCTGTGAACTTTGGCAAATGCTCTTTTATGAGATGTTGGCTTGGGCTGGATATTTCCAAACTGAATGTCTGTCTGACTGGACGATGCCCTGATTCTTTCAACACAATCCGTACAGTGTGTGTGTGCGTGTGTTTGGCCAAGCACACTGTTGCAAAATTTTTTTAAAGTATGTGACACTTTGGAGCACTGGTGTCAAAGTCAAGCCGCGGGGGCCAGATGCGGCCCGCCACATCACTTTATGTGGCCCGTGAAAGCAAATCATGATCACAGAAATGTTAAATTGTCACGTGTATTAAATAAGGTTGAAATTTTGTTAGCCTCATTCCACTTGTTTCAACAATCATTGAGAAACAACAAACAAATGGTTGACTTGAATGATTTCAAAACTAGTCATCCATCCATTTGTTGTGTACAAGTAATAATACCCCGAGACACATTTATTCGGTTTCACTTTCGGAGCGGCCCTCTGAGGGAAGACGTAACTCCAAAGTGGCCCGCGACTAAAAAATGAGTTTGATACCCCTGCTTAGGAGGATCATAAAGAACAAAAACTGAGCGCGGAGGCAATAAAGTGGATTCATCTTAAACCAGACTGCAATTTGTTGGTATAAAACTGACAGAATTAGTTATTTGCAGGTGATGAAATAATATGATGAAATTTGTTGTAAATCATCAGGGTTTTTTTCGAAGACACTCCTTACCATGGAATAACATATAACGGGTGTGTTAGCATTTGATCTGAACAGAGCCACCGTTCGCTATGACACTGTACAAAACTGATAAGTGTTTAGCCTCCGCTTGAGTGAGTCGGTTTGAGGTCAGAGTAACAGCATTATAGACTTATTTTTGAAGAAAGAGAGCAAAGGGCAAAACAGCACCGCCGTGCTTATCTTTGATTTCTCCTGGAAACAAAAGAAAACATATGGGCAAAACTCCATGCATCGACATAAATACATGGTGAGACAGTAGAACGATTCTCCGGACATGTTATTAGGTACACTGGCACCGTTCGGTGTGATCAACCACAAGTACTCAATCCTTAATGTTGCTTTTACCAAGACCACACAAATGTTATGTATATAAATTTATTTTCATTATATAGCTAAATAAAGTAACACTCCCAGAGATTATCAGTAAAAATAGGAATATTATTTTTGTCAATGAAGATTTTTTTTTTTTTTTTTACAGTCCAAGAATTGGATCTTATTAGATTGTGCAGTTATACCTTTAAAAAGTCCTTAACCCTTTCAGGGACAGCGGTTACTACAGTGGACCGCTTATCATGTTATCAGGTTACAGGGTGCATGAAAGGGTTAATTTTCCCCAGCGGATATGTCTGGGTTCCTACGATGGCACAAGCAACACACGATTGACCAAATTGTAAGAAAAATGAGTATTTCAAAAGTTTTCAGTGGGTCAAATTGACAAACGCATTTTTGAAATGCAAATGAAATGTCCAGTATAATTGCAAGAACGTTTTGCTTGATGGATGGGAGTCATTGCCTAACCGCCAGTTTCAAGTCAAGGACTGTGTGACGATGTCTAAAAGCTGTCTGGGTTCTTGGGCATGCTGGAGTCCAAATTTTAGGATGAACTGCACGTGCATAAGATACAAAGGGCAAAAGAGTTTATTCAGCCAATGGAAATTGGATTTCACCACACACCTTATATCCAGTGTGATGAAATCCCGTGGAGGAGGTCACGCTGCTGCTTTGCAATCCTTTGCTGAAAGAGTCGAGAAGGCAGACATAGGATTTGAATGCGTTGCATTATTTCAACAAACAAATTGAGAAATAGTACAGCGCATGTGCATCACACACTAAAGACAAAAGTGACCAGCAAAACACACGAATGTTGATTCAAATCCATTCTCTTTTTGGCAGTACAATGCCATCACTATTTATGTCGGATATTCTGAAGTGATTTTGGTCATTATCAAGAAAACCTTTGGAAAATGTCTCATCCAGGTCAGGTGGGCAACAGGCAAGACACTTTTTACTATGCGTAGATTCCCAGCTGCTGCTTGTCCAAAGCCTGGATTAAAAAAAAAAAAGTAGATTGTTTTAGGAAGGTTATCCAGTATAAAAATCATTTGTGAGTTATTTTCTGTGGTGACCCCTGACAGGAAAAGCCAAAGGTCACCTCTTTATATTTGGGAATATTCTAACTATAATAGCACCAGGAAGCAATTCCACAAAATTTCGATATGACATGTATAAAGGCCAAACTCTCTTTACTATAATGCTTGTCCTATTTCAGGTCGCAAGTGTGATGGAGCATATCCCATCTGATTTTGGAGAGAAGTGTCATCGATTATGAAAAAAATGCCAGGAAATCACAGTGCACAAATGAGAAACAATCATTCATCACATCAATGGAAACTATATCGCGTTTAGTTGTTGTATGGTGCCCACCTGTATCAATCCGGCTGGATTTTTTTTCGATGTAGATCTTGCACCAAGCTAGGTTTTAATCCAATGATGCAGTTAGGAAGTGCCTTCGGTTGTATTAATGATATGCTCCATGTCCGAATGGTGGGCATAAAAGACCACATTTCTTTTCTGAAATGAGACATGAGATGGTGAGAGTTAGTCAGGAGTGGTCATTAGTATTTTCAGAAGAGCAAGAGTAATTATCAGCCTGAAGGAAAGTTTGTGTGTGTGTGTGTGTGCGTGTGTGTGTGTGTGTGTGTGTGTGTGTGTGTACTTAATTTTTAAAGTAATATCGAGGAATAGCAGTGTGCCATGAAAAGATAAATGTTTGGATAATGCCAGTTTATTTAAATACTTTTTTTAAAATTTTTAAAATGCTTCATGTTTATTTAATGTTGAGAATTTCTAAATGTTTATCTTTCCTCAATTTTAAAACCATTTTGTCACCTTCTCTCGGGTATCCCTCAAAGTTATATTATCATTGAAGTAGTCTTTTTGATTGACATTTTATACTCTGTTTTTGTTCATTGTCATTTATTTCTATACATCTAAGTGATTATAGGGTGGCACGGTGGTCGACTAGTTAGCACGTCCACTCACAGTGCAGCGGTGGAGGGTTCGATTCCGGCTCCGCCCTTCCTGGAGTTTGCATGTTCTCCCCGTGCCTGTGTGGGGTTTCTCCGGGTACTCCGGTTTCCTCCCACATTCCCAAAAACATGCATGGCAGGCTGAATGAACACTCTAAATTGTCCATAGGCGTGAGTGTGAGCGTGGATGGTTGCTCATCTTGTGTGCCCTGCGATTGGCTGGCAACCAGTTTAGGGTGTCCCCCGCCTACTGCCCAAGGACAGCTGGGATAGGCTCCAGCACGCCCTGTGACCCTTGTGAGGATACACAGATCACAACATGGATGGATGAATCCAGTTTGCTCTTGCAGAGTAACGCTTGATTTTATTTCATTTATTTATTGTAGTCACTGTCATCCATGAAGGTGATATTCATGATTGCTAATTAATATTCATTGACATAAATAGCGTCCCCGCCCCAAATCACATTTTGTGACTGGCTGCGGTGGCTCCGCATGACTTGACTTCGATTCCATGCACAAGAGGTGCAACGGAGACGAGTCGCAGGCCCACGTGTGTACGTGTTTGCCGAGAGCACGCCGTTAAATTCACCCACGTGCACGCGCGCGCGCGCTTGACTCCTCCCCGGCAATGATTAAATGCCGCCCGGCCGTCTCAGGTCCTTGCAGTTGAAATCAGTCATGACGGGGGAGCTGTGAGCTGGGACCTTTTCGCATCGTAACGCGTAGACATAGTACATCCGATTTTCTTTCCCGGCCGGTGTTGACGACCAAGAAACATGAAGACCATCCTTGCCGCATACTCGGGCGTGCTTAAAGGTAAGCACCGGTGCGGGGAAGGCTGCAGCAGGAGCTCCTGAATTGCACGGATCAAACAAATTAGTTGCCGTTCTTGGACACAGCATACTTAAATACTTCTGTAAATATATACAGCTCGTACATGCTCGATTTTCTGATTTGGATGATTAATGCAATGTATTTTTCCATGTTGTGATATTATTTTGACTGTGAAAAATAAGGATATGAGAAATGTGTATATTTGGGGTTGCCAGATCTTTCACCTGTCATCCTTAATCCAAAATCACAGGAACACCATTGATTTAGAGACTAAAGAAACTTTGTCCAAACATGACAGCTCCTGTTCTTTGTAAATATGGAAGTTGATTACCATGAGGAGGAAAAAAAAGAAGAAAAGAGAGCAGTCATGCAAATGTGTATCTTTCGCAGCACTTATTTTCCTCCGCGTACTTTTGTTCAGTCCACACGTGCCGACTGTCACTATGCGGATGAGGGCATGCCATGTTTGTGTACTTTTCTGTCTGCTGACCAGTTCGATCTGGATCAGCGCGATCATTGGAGATCAACTGCCAGCAAAATGTTTTGCTTAAGTGTTGACGGTGGCCCTAAGTAGTCATGAGGTCTTAGATTGCAGGTACGGTGGCCTAGGGCCGGGTTATTTTCAGTGTGGAATAATGAGATTAGTCAAATCTTCGGAGGGATGTGTTCTTGTTTGGATCTCAGTCAGACTTGACTCTTACTATTGATTTTCACATGAATAATTCGTTCTTGCCCCAGTGCATGCAGTCTTCTCACGTGTTACTTTCTGGCTTCAGTGTACTTTGTAATTTGACTGCAAAGGGAGGATGCGAATAACGGTTACCTGTACCTTTAATTCCTTCCAATACTTGACAGGTTGTGATTCATGACAGGATGTGACCCCCAAGACTCTGAACACATTTTTTTTTCCCTGCGACTTTCTTCGAGCTTCTTCAGAAATGTTCTTTTCTTGCCTTTGCGATTTCTGTCCAGGCACCGGCTCCAGCATCCTATCCTCCCTGCAGGACCTGCCTTTGGCTTTCTGGCCATGTGGATCCAAGATAGAGAAACATCTCCAGGTCATCGCTGTGCTGCAGTGGGTCATCACCTTCTTAGCCTTGGGTATGTGCGAGTGTGTGTATGTGTCGGTAATGGTACATTCGAGTTAAGTTGGAAGAAAGTCAACAAAAACCTAAAGAATTAGCATGCAGTCTCATTAGTGCCAAGTAGGTCAGATCACTAAGCTGCATACACATGCTTGGGCCTTGTGGAGATTCTGTCCTCTTTAAACTGATATAATTGGATATTTTTGAGTTCCCACTTTTCACAGTTGCCCACTCCTCTTTTTTTTTCTTTCAGGGGCAGTCTGCACTGTTCTGCTAATCTACATGTTCTGTACCGATTGTTGGTTTATCGCTGCCCTTTACACCTCCTGGCTCATTGTTGACTGGAACACCCCGAAACAAGGTATTTTCACAGCGTCTCTCGTTGTTTTTATGGAGAACAAACATGTGATGTGACTCTACTAATCGCATGATGATAGCGGATTTCCGGGCCATTACCCCCCCATCCCTCTCCCCAAAAAAAAAAATGGTCGAAATTTCAACAAAAAAGGGACCTCAATTGCGTCATTATATCATCAGTGAGTGCTTGTGGTTTTTGAGGTGTGAAATTGATTGGGCGATGCACGTACAAAGATTCTGCTCTGTTTGGTAATCAATGCTTTGAGTGTCCTTTTTTTTTTTGCAGCTGTGTGAATGAAGGGAAAGACTTGTTGAGAATATTGACACAAGAGCCTACCAATGTTATAATATAGTTTGTCTTGATGAATAATTTTTAAAAACCATCCAGAATGAAACAAAAAAAATGCAAAAATTCATTCATCGACTGATGGGAAAAGTAAGTCAACTAATACGAAGTTAGTTGGATTGGTCAATTTTTCTGTCGAATGTTGGCCAAAGTGGGGGGGGGGGGCGAGGGGGCTGCCTCTATCATTAGCGATATTTAGCGACTTTCACAAAGATGGATTTCGATAATGTAGAAATGAATTATGTGAAAATGTAACACAAAAGGCTTTATTGTTTATTGCGACACGTCTTCCAACAGTTTACAAATGCTAATGACAGAAACATGCCACGATTAGCAAAACGCTGGATTCACACATTCAAAATTTTGAGATCCGCATCATAAATGCTCTCTTTTCGTATCGATTCAGCTTTCTGAAAGGACTGTGATAGATTCAAAAATACTTTTTTATACTTCATTTTTATGACAATACACAGTTAGACCATGAAAGCTTTCAATTCGAACCGTAATATACATTTTAAGCCATATTGCCTTGTAGAGGGAAGCTAGTCTGCTTCCTGACCACTGTTCAGGTGCCCTTGAGCAAGGCACCAAACCCAGCACCAGCAATACTATACTATACTATACTTTACTATACTATACTATACTATACGAGACTAGATTCAATTTCATAATATACAGACTAGAATTAAAAAATAAATAATAATTGTAATATTTTTCCTGACCAGGTGGGAGGAGATCTTCATGGGTCAGAAGTTGGACAGTGTGGACATACTTTCGAGACTACTTTCCAATTAGGGTAAGAAATCTCAACGGTTTGTTGTTTGTCACTGAGATAACCTGACTTTTGATAAAGCATCAAAGTTCATGGAATGGACAAAAAGAAAAGAACACTAACTGCTGAGCAAGTTGTTGTCCATTTCTGATTATGTTTAGGTATGACTTAATAGATAAAAGTTATCAGACGTAGGTTCACCTATCAGATATCTTCTAAGGTCTTGATGTAACTTTGTCCTGTCTGATAGACTAAAAGGTGAAAAGTGTTTTTGGAACACATTATCCTCCTACATTACAGACCAAAGCCCAAGTGTTTTTATCTTAGGACTTTGGATGTTTCTTGGGCATTCATTTCATGTGCAATTACTCTTCAGTGAGATCAACAATATATTGTGCGGAAAGGACTATCTACAGTGTGTTGACGAAACCAAGGGGATGGACATGAAGTGATGCCGTTCAAGGTTGAACTTTGTCCATCACATTGATCTATACTTGCGTTGTGCCCTGTGGACCTTAGGACCATTTTCTCTGTCGCTGTTGTTGTTGTCATCTTGAGAAATATCAGTGATGCAAAAGGAACAAATCCCAGGCGTAGAGCATTCTTTGCTGAGGTCTGCTTTTAAAAGTTAATCTCTTGAAACGGTTTTCACATGAACCTCCCCAACACACGCGCGCGCGCGCGCGCACACACACACACACACACACACACACACACACACACACACACACACACACACACTGTATTTTAGAAGTACCGCAATATTTCTGCAGGGTAATCAATTTTTAAATTGCTTCCTATCAATTGTGAACAACTGACTGTTATTTACACGAGCTGGAGGCTGACTGAGCAAAGTTTAAAGGAAATCAGGAGTTTGACCGTTACGAAAGCAGTGATATGGAGTTCTGGGCAAATCTTGAAAGGCTCAGTTCTGGTTGCTGTATTTGGAGAAACCAAAGAATGGTGTCCCTTGGCGTTGACTTTACTCCCCATGACAACCAGGTGGAGTTTTGTGATACTAAGGAGATCTTGAATGTGATCTCATTTGCTAATGTGGTTATGCAACTGTTGTTTGAGCAGCTCCTCAGTATTGTGTAAACATTGAGTCGACTCTTAAGTCCGGCGAACAGATCAGGACGCGGTTAACGTTGTCTTGTTCAGATTAATTGACCACCATAACGTGCAAAGTTTAAATATGTACTATGTGCAAAAAAGAAGAAAAAAAATCCAACTACTAACTTAAGTTTTATGTCTTGTTCATGGCAGCCTGAACAGGTGCACGTGAAGTACTGCATCCTGGGTCATTATTTTATAACGGCAGACGAGGCATGATCCATTGATAAGGATGTCCTGGTTTCTTCGTTGCTAATGAACAAACATTTGAATTCAGGGCACAAATGAAAAAGACAGGGTGTCACAAATTATTCATTGATGTACTTAGTTATTTGTATCGGCGTATCTTACGCAAGCATAGGTAAATACTTGAAAAAGTAAAGCTTTTTTTTTGTCAAAATATACGGAAGGTTTTTGGTGTTGTCGATAATGTAAAATAAAATAAAGGCGAAGTTGATTCATCGATGAGGCCATCGAGATATATATATATATATATATATATATATATATATATATAGACTGTACATATCATTTTTTTTTGTATAGCAATCAACCTTTTTCGCATTTGTGGATTGGCGTCACGTAAAGACAGATTTTGACATACAAATACAATGCAACTCACCATTACGCCATTACACTGAGTGTAGTTGTTAAAATTAGCAGGAGCCCCGTGCAAGTTTCTCTTCAACAAACCGGCCCGTGTCATCTTGCGTTCCATCTTGTGTTGGCCGGGCCATTCTAACCATGCCGTGGCAGCAGAACGAATGAGCCGAAAGTCCTCCGTAAATTGGAAGACAGATGTGGAGTCGTAAAGTCGACTAGTCCACTAGTCGATTCAACCACGATTTCAAATGGATATCGATTTTATGACTTATTTCTCAAAGATACTGATTCAATTCCACCTGACTTTTAGCTGTGTACCAGAAGAATAGTGGTAAATGGTGTCCTGTGTTTTTCTGTCCATTCAGTTTAGCCCACAGATGTGAAAGTCAAGGCCCGGGGGCCAGATCCGGCCAGCCACATTATTTTATATGGCCCGCGAAAGCAAATCATCTGTGTCAACTTCCATGATCCTTCTTAAATCTGGACCGAAATCTCAAATTGTCATATGTAATAAATAACGGTAACATTTTGCAATAAGTTTACACTCACTTGAGCAATCATTTAACAATGCTTGACTGATTTCAAAACTAGTGAGCCATCTTTTATTTATTTATTTTTTGTGTACAAGTAATAATACAATGTGATGATTAAGCATTTATTCGGTTTCACTGTCGCAACGGCCCTCCGAGGGAAGATGTATCTCCAAAGTGGCCCACGACAAAAATGAGTTTGACACCCCTGGCTTAGCCATTAAGTATTTATTTTTGTATTTATTTATTTATTTATTTGAACATTTTGTTGAATTTTCAGATCGTTGGAGAGATAATTGTCTCATATCAGCCTACAAAATTATATGCATTTTTGGGAACACCCTCAATGACTTTCTATATTTATGTAGACAAAACACATTTTCATGGACAAACAAACTAAGAGTTGCATTTACGTTGTGATTTTTTTTTCTTCTTTTAAACCTTCCTCACTAGTCCTTGTTGTGTTATTCCCTAGCTAATTAAAACCCACAACCTGCTGCCCAATCGAAATTATATCTTCGGCTACCATCCCCATGGCATCCTCTGTTTTGGAGCTTTCTGCAACTTCGGAACAGAGGCTACAGACTTCTCCAAGAAATTTCCAGGCATTAAGCCCTCTCTAGCAACTTTGGCAGGGAACTTCCGAATGCCTGTCCTACGAGACTACCTGATGTCTGGAGGTGAGTGCCTTTCTTATGAGCTATTCTAAAGGGAAGATAATGCTGATAATTGTATCTGTCAGACAACAAATCTTTGCCCTTTTGCTCAGCTGAAATCGCTTCTGTTGACTTCGCTTTAGTTTGTTTGTTCTCCAGAACGTGATCGAGTAAATGTGTTTTTACTGTTAGGTTATTTTAGGACAGTGTTTCCCAATCTGACAGCCGGGATCCATACACATGTGCAAGTGCATACACACAAGGGATAAAATAATGACACTTTAAATGGTTACCATTTAAATTTTTAATTACGGTAAATAGTAAATGATAAACCAAAATGTACGGTTGATTGTGTATTTTGGTTTTAAGGTCAAGGTTTAGTTTCCATGAAGTTACAGCAAGGGGACAAAGTCAAAACTAAAATTGCTTGTCGTTTGGGTAAACATCAACAGATTTCAGGACGTTAAAATGAATTTAGGAAAAAAAAAAAAAAAAGCAAAATTGCTACCGGTAAAGACACCTAGAAATAAAATATTCTGCGTGCTCCAGCTCACCCAGACTTTAATGAGATTAAAGGGTATAAATAGCAAATGGAGGGATGCATGAAAAAAATCTAAAATAAACATAATGTATACATATGATAAAATATACATACAATAATCTATCACAATTTTAACATTAACTTATTAGCAAAGCGCAGCATCCACGTTGGAGGAAATTATAGACATTTTTGAAATTATTTAACAATTTAATTATCAACATGCTAAGCCTAATTTGATTAAATAGCTCCTAAACTTCACAGTACATTTCTTGCAGTACACATAACTCTAAAAAGACTATATTGGGTCCCGGTCTAAAAAGAGTCAAATTTAAGAATAAGATATTAACGAACCCACAACCTTCAGATTGGGAAACGGCCACTATGCCACCTGAGCCATGCCACTACTACTGTGACTTGGTAAATCGCTGTTGTCTCCAAGACCCCGATTACTTAGGTCTCCTTTTGGACTTTCAAGAATTTCAATTGACACCGGTGATTTTGTAGCTCACAGTAGGATAGGCAAGGCTCAGGTGGAAGAGTGGCAATGTCCCAATCTGAAGGTTGCGGGTTCGTTCCTCAACACATTAGTGACATTTTTAAAAATATATATAAATAAGCTAATACTACATAAGTAAAATTTACTGAAAAACTCCCCTTGAAAATTTTACTAAGAATTTCTCAGTGAAAAAAAAAAATAAAAAGTTTTTTTTTTTTTTTCCCCAGTCAGGATTGCTCCAAATTTTTGTCAGTGTAAACTTTACTCTTGAATTGTGCTCTGTTTTGACTGGGACCAAAAACAGTCTTAATCCATTCATTAACTGAACCGCTTTATCCTCACAAGGGTCGCGGGGCATGCTGGAGCCTATCCTCGCTGTCTTCGGGCAGTAGGCGGGGGACACCCTGAACCGGTTGCCAGCCAATTGCAGGGCACACAGAGACAAACAACCATTCACGCTCACAATCAATCCTTCGAACAATTTAGAGTCATCACTTAACCTACCGTGCATATTTTTGGGAATGTAGGAGGAAACCGGAGTACCCGGAGAAAACCCGCGAAGGCACTGGAAGCAAAAGCACCACAAATTTATTGCAATAAAGTTTTATTCAGGTTATCCCTCCCCGAGTTGTCAAATGCCAGATTTGTTTTAGTTTTTTAATTCACATTGTTTCCTTAGTTGCAATTCGTCTTTGCTGTATTCTTATAATTCCAACGACAATAAAAGTTGGGGTGAGTGCGCGTGCGTGAGAACTTATATCTGCTCACAATTTTCTGCCTAGTTTAGATGCATAATAGCAGGAACACACCTTTTCACCGCACACTTCCATGAGCCCAAAATAATTTGGGATTCTGACTCGATTTCACAAAACCACAAGAGAAGACATTTGGTTTTGGTTGCCGTTAATCTCCCCCCTCAAATGTTTCAGGTATTTGTCCTGTCAACAAGGATTCCATTGACTACCTGCTGTCATGCAACGGCACAGGAAACGCAGTGATCATTGTTGTCGGAGGCGCAGCGGAGTCGTTACACAGCGCGCCAGGCATGAACTCTGTCATTCTGAAGAACCGGAAAGGCTTTGTGAGAATGGCGCTCCAAAAAGGGTGAGCGGGCATGACTTGGCGCGATCCATTTTCAGATTCAAATATCAGTTGGGGGCGGCCTGGTGGTCCAGTGGTTAGCAATTGGGTTCAATTCCCGCTCCGGCCTCCCTTTGTGGAGTTTGCATGTTCTCCCTGGGCCTGTGTGGGTTTTCTTCGGGTACTCCGGTTTCCTCCCACTTTCCAAAAACATGCATGGCAGGCTGATTGAACACTCTAAAATCGTCCGTAGGTGTGAGTGTGAGCGCGAATGGTTGTTCGTCTCTGTGTCCCCTGCAATTGGCTGGCAACCGGTTCAGGGTGTCCCCCGCCTACTGCACGCTGATAGCTGGGATAGGCTCCAGCACACCCCCGCGACCCTTGTGAGGATAAAGCGGATCGGAAAATGAATGAATGTCAGTTGGAGGAATTCATCAAATCAAAGCTTATCTTGTTCCCATGTACATTCACTAAATCACGTTGTGCCCTTTTAGAGAGGTCATACATGAGTCGGTAGTACGCATTTTATTGGTAGAGGCCCGCAGAGAACCCAAACAACCCTGATTATGTCAAATATCACTAAGGATTATGAACGGGTTTCACCTTTTAAAGCAGATTAGAGCTAGGTAGAAAACAAATGCAGTTATGCAGACATTACAACATAACAGCTTTGTAAATGTTCAGACGAATGAGCTACTTGCGGTACTGTACCTCCCTCTGAATTTAGCCAACAACTGCTGCTTACTCCACTGTGATTATTATTCAATGAAGTTGGAGTGGAAAACTCAATTACACGTTGTAGTTCTGGATGGGAAAATCAAGCGAAAAAGCTTATGATGTTGCAGAAAATGACATAAATCATTGATCGTTGCCAAAACATAGATATGGTTCAATAATTGAGTCGAAGCTTAATATTTTGGCAACAAAAACAAACCTGCCCGGCGGGCTTTCACCACTTTTGATGCATGATCACATCTGAAGCATACTGATTTGTGTGTTTCTTGCTAGCAGCCATAACAAAAACTTCCATCTGTTTTTTTTTTTTTCTAATTGTTGTCCATCCAGTAGGCTGAACAGCTGTTCATCTTGCATTGATGAACTAAAATTGCTTCTTTAATGTGCGGATAATGTTGTAAAATGTAAAAAAATGCAATTAATACTTTATGTATGAAATAAGCGGCCCGGTGGTAGAGTGGTTAGCGTGTCGACCTCACAGTGCAGAGGTTGTGGGTTCGATCCCGGCTCTGGCCTTCCTGTGTGGAATTTGCATGTTCTTCCCGTGCCTGCGTGGGTTTTCTCTGGGTACTCCGTTTTCCTCCCACATTCCAAAAACATGCATGGCGCAGGCTAATTGAACACTCTACATTGTCCCTAGGTGTGAGTGTGAGCGCGGATGGTTGTTTGTCTCTGTGTGCCCTGTGATTGGCTGGCAACTGGTTCAGGGTGTCCCCCGCCTACTGCCCGAAGACAGCTGGGATAGGCTCCAGCACCCCCTGCGACCCTTGTGAGGATAAAGCGGATCGGAAAATGGAAGGATGGATGGATGAAATAACACGCCAGCTATTCGAGCTTTTTTTTTTTTTTTTTTGAAACATGTATTTCTGTCGATGTCCTTAGGTCTGACTTGGTTCCAGTATATTCCTTTGGGGAAAATGATGCGTACAAGCAAGTAATCCTGGAAGAGGGCACTTACTGGAGAACTCTCCAGAAGAAGTTACAGAAGTTGTTAGGCTTCGCTCCATGCCTTTTCCACGGATGTGGCCTCTTCTTTGGCAACTCCTGGGGTATCGTGCCATACGGCAAACCGATCACAACCATAGGCAAGTGCACTTCAGCCTCTTTCTGTTGGCATGTAATACGCCAATTGGCTAAATGGCTCGCCGCAATGCTCAATGTGTTTGATTTTTTTTTTTTTTTTTTTTTTTTTTGTATTGCAGTCGGGGAGCCGATCACAGTGCCAAAAACAGAGGATCCGTCTGATGAGATGGTGGATCTTTATCACGCGATGTATGTTAAGTCCCTCCAGTGCCTGTTTAACAAGTACAAGACCCGTTTTGGCTTCAAGGAGAGTGACATTCTGTACATCGAGTGAAAGAATGAAGGGGAAACTCTAAACACTGAGAACTGTGTAACTTCTGACCCACCTCACCTTCAGACCGCTCCCCATCTCAGTCCAGCCCCGGAGCCTGATTGGGATCATCTTTGGACTCTAATCTACATGAGCACATTTTGCTTCCTGTCTCCCAAGCAAAAAAACAAAAAAAGCGTAGACTGTCCTCAGGGATTGGCAGGTTTTGAGAAAATGGCACTGCGGCTTGGACCAACATTTGAACATGACACACTGTGGAATCCCTGAACACAAGTGCCTTTTGTGTGTATATTTACATTTTCTGACTGAAGGCATCCAACTATATTATGCGTGTCATGTAAATGCAGAGGTGAAGGTAAGGACTTCAAAATATATATATGCGTTCACATAATTCCCCACAAAGCTCTGTAAAATATTATTTTATAAAAGCACAACCAATGCATATTAAGTGTACCACTATGATAATCGGATGCACAAACCCACAGATGAATGGGGTTGCCAAAGAGCTACTGTGTCCGCACAAACACAAGTACAGCACCAAATGTCTTCTTAAGGAAAGCCTCTACTTCTCCATGGGATTCCTGTGTTGAAAATGCAATATATGTCTGCGTGTGATTTTTAGACTGCCATAAAGTATTAATTGTATTCATTATCGAGGAAAAAGAAGCCTGTGTCGGTGCTTGTCTCTTGAATGAATATTTCCAATGCACTTTGTCTCACCGATTCTATTCCAGGGGTTTTGTCACAAGAAGGAAAAAAAAAACCTAAGGTTTTGACATAGAAGATGATTCTCATTTATTGTCCAAGTGGTATTCAGGTGTGGATGGATTTGTTCTGCCGTGAAAAGTGAAGTAGTGGCCTTTATCTTCAAGTGCTTTTGGAGGGTTTACGACTGCATTCCAGAGTGGATAATATCAATAAATATACTCGTTTTTAAATTGAAGGCATCCTGGATTACTTTGCAAATATGCAGTCAGTGTTAATTGGGCAAAAAGGAAGGAAATGTCTTACATAATGCCTTATGTGTATTACCGGATATTGGAGGGTGTCACTCTTTGATAAAAAGTGTGATAGACTGTATGCCAAAAATCATCACACAATTTGGGTTTGGGATTGCCATATTTTAAAGGTAGTTATTCATTTCTGACTGTCATTTGGAGATGAATGTCCACTGGTTTTGCTATTGTGAATTTAATATAAAGTGCAGTGTAATTCATGTGCAATACAACTGCAAGAATTGCACGGCAAAGATTTGTCTGTATGATGTATGACGTGTGCCGAACTATCTTAAATTAAACTTTTGTATATTTTCAGAAGGAATGTATGTGGACGTTTTTTTTTTTTCATTGGACAACAGCAACAAAGTCTCTGGTCATACCTTATGGCTTAATATGTACTATTTCAGCTTTTATTATGTGCACCAGAATACAAAACACTTTCTTCGCCTCCTACAAACTAAATACAGTACTTTATGCAAACAATTCTATTTGCCATTTTATCTGTCGTTGTATATTAAGTCTTATCTGAGCTCTGCAATTATTTCTCATTTTGCTCTGAGCACTCTTTATTGGCAACATGATGTCTATAACTGGTAATCGTTTAAAAAAATACTGACAACTACTGATTTAAACGGCAGTTTTAAATTCACACAACTCAGAAATTGCACATTTTTGGTACTGGTGCTGGAATTTGGTTCTTAATTGTCGCGGTTACATTGATGGTGAGGAAAAAAATGTACGTTGTTGATCTGCTACTGATTACAATACAATATTTTCAAAGGCAGACCACAAGTTGAATGGGAAAATGGCTCCCTCTTGAGGACATATTGAATATTACACACAAAAAATGAGATTAGAAATGTCAGGTCCACTTGACGTTCAATTTACTGTAGAGTACTGTAATTCCACTCCGTTGCACTCGTGTCCATAACACCATCAAATAATCTCTTCTCATATTCTCCCAAATCACAAAAACTTGGGATAGTCTGTCCAATTAAGTCAAGGTCAATTAAGTAAATGTATTGTGCTTTTCAGATTCATCCAGAAATGTTACCTGAAAGCCAAATGACCGTGCCCAACCTTTTGTACGGTGTAAATGTAGATACACTGTAGATACATAAATAAGGAAGCCACCAGGTAAATAAATAGTGTGACCAAAGTTATTTATTTTCCTGTAAAGTGAACATAAAAATGTCTCATAAATTGGACACACTATAGAGAAGTCACAACAAGCCTACAATCTTTGAAAAGGAAAAAAAACAAAAAACGGCAAGTATGCTGGCACGTGTCATTCAGCCCGTGGCTCACTCTACATGGCAGCCATTTGAGCACACTTCTTGATGGTTAATACTTACGTTGCACTCACAATGCTTTACTAGGTGCGTCAGCGGGCACTATTTTAGCCACGCCCCCCACCCCCACGCGGGGGGGGGGGGAATCAGGAAAGATGAAAGGGTGATAAACAGTTTAACTCATTATCAACACAACTGTGTACCACACAGTTCTCAGTGTTTTAACGTATTCGGCAATTATCTTCAAACATAAGTTATGTATTTCTCAATTCATTAAAGATACATGTACTTTTAACCAAGTATCGCTTTGAATTACTTTACACAAGACTGCACTTAGAGTACAGTATATATTTTCACTTATACCATTAGCTAATTTACCGTTGTTTTGATGGCAAGAAAGTCAGAGCCAACGCTAGCTATAGACCTTAGAAAAACATTTTTTGTTATGCCAAGTAATCAAAACAGGTGTTGTTGTATATAATTGAGAGCAAAAAAAAAACCAATCATTAATTCACTTTTATTTGAGTAAGAACACACAACTTGAGTACAGGGTGTGAGTAACTTTGCCACCGTGCATTGGTCTAGTCCTATCTGGCTGGTATTCACAAAACTACGGATGTAGTGGTTCAATCAATGAGGATGTTCTCAAACAGTTAATTGACTTTTGTGCTTTCACTTTTATGAACCAATCGGATTTTTCAAAAATGCCAGGTATAAACCAGCTGCATCAAGTAATGCAACTGCATAAAACTCTGGCTTGTGAAGTCAGTCACGCTGTTTGAGGACCACTTCCTTATATTCCGCTGCTTTGACAGATTTCAATGTAGGCCCGCCCATGGTCGAAGAGAAACAGAAAAACTAACCAATAGTCTGACGAATTTTCAGTTTCGATCGTTGTTTCCTTACGATGGACGTTACATTTTAGCCAATCAAAAGCGTTTGCGTCACAGCACTTAACCGGAGACGGATTTCCGAACAGTGTAGCAAAATAGCATTTCCAGTACTTTGTTTACGTCCTGTTGGTTAGCTGACAGCTGGTGTGGCTTGTTAGTTGCAAAAAGAAAAATAAAGGAAGCAAGGGGGAAAAAAACATTAGTGCGTTTCTCGTGCGGACGCCTTGACTTTAAGACTGAAAGCCACGATATCTGTGGATGCTGGTCATGGAATGTTTTGTTGAGTGAGGGCGCCCCGCTTCGATGCCGACAGGAGGATGAGCTCCATCACCGGTCGGGTTCTCGCCATCGCCGCCGTCTCTGTTACCAACTCTGGAGCTTCATCATCCCGATCCTTGCACGTCGAGCTCACATCCCAGCAGGTATGCACAAAGGCTTTGAACACACCCTGACACGGATAAACATTCAGCTGACCGGCAGGCGACTCGGACAGTGCTGCCTCGGTCTATAGGTGTCTTGTAAGAGTTGAGAATGTCAATTGCAACTGCTGCCTGGAGGAGTAAAGCGGGCCTGTCAGGCTAGCTCGGAAGCTAACAGCTGCTAGCTTGCGGGTCGCTAGCTTGGGTGAAACACCGAGTCCTCGAAAACCATTTACTCCGACATATTCGACTCGGTCTCCTGTTTTTCCGGGTTGTTTTCAAAATGTGCATGGACTCACTTTTTTATCCCCCTGCAAGAAACACTTACGGTATTCCAGCAAGTAAACTTTGTGTTCGTGCTCCCAAGTGACAGGAAGAAAAACCATGGCATATGTCATTACTGGGGGTTTGCTTGCACTGAATGAACATCGGAAACTTGAATAGTTTTCACCTGACGTTCACTAAAATGTGCCTGAAATAAGTTTACGATTCATTTGTCATACGTTGACGTTTGACAGTGTAAAAGTTCCAAAGGCATGCTATTTCAATCACGAGTCTTTAACAAGAGTCGGTCGGCTCGTATACGTGCAAGCTCTCAAATGATTTAGAAATAATCATATCGTGGCAATGTTGTGCACTTGTTAATTTCATTGCTTGGCTCACCACGGCTGTAATCAAAGTTTACTGGGTTAACCTTACAGGAAAAGTGTAACGTCAACAATGTCCGACTAATTTACAATGCGACACTAATGGCTAAATGAATTTTTACCACTATGTACTTGTTTCACCAAACATGTTTAAAATTTGTTTTCATAAAATAGACGTTTTCACACCGGTGCGCAGTTTTATAATACTGTTCTATATATTCCAAGCCTGTCACTCACGTGTACTGTAGTCACATGGGCAGCATTAACAGAGTTCCGCAGTTTTCAGTCATACTGACCCATGTCAAATAGATTCGGTTCCATGAATGATGCGCTGTTGGAGAATACAATGTTTGTGCTTCTGTAACATATCATTACTATTTCATTGTTTGCCATTATTTTCCTCAGTGAAATACCTGTAGTTCTCCAATTTTGGGATGATTGTGCTAATCGAGGTATGGGTGTTTGAAAAACAAAAGAGATGATGATAATCTTAGCAGTATTTGCATGACGATGCAGCCCTGAACAGAAGCCCAGTCTGTCGTATTTTACAGCGTAAAGTAATTTGTGTCAAGTGACCAGCTCATAAGATTGTCTGCATATTTTTCTTGTCATTTCTTCTGATGTCACATGTTCACTTGCATGACTTTATTCACCAGAATATTAAGAGGGCATGAAGAACATGTTCTCATGTTGCTCCTGCACCAAGAGTGGATTCCCACATTTGCAAAACCACCTATTCACCTTTAACTAACTCTAATTAATATTCGATTATTGTGTCGGGTTGCAATCAAGGGATGGAAGAATCTCTGTTGGAATGTTTCTTCAATACGAGTGTTGGAATGAGTGGATTATTGAGGTGTTGTGCCATCATGAATGTCTGAGTGTATAGCTGTTATCATTTTCTTGTTCAGGGCCACAAAATTAGTTGAGACTGAATCAACAGCGCCTTTACTGGTTGCCACCACCCCCAGTTGATTTGAAATGCGCTCAAACAAATATCTATTGATTTATAAAAAACGATGAATTGTCTGCATAAAATGAAACCAAGAAATGGTCCCACCCTTTGCATTCATGTTCATTATGTAGATGCACATTCTTTAATGTGGTGATAAAGCAAACGAAGGGAAGCAAAATATTTTGAAACCATTTGTTGAGAATAGTAAAAAAGTAAAAATGTGCTATATGGAAATCGCCTATATATCTGATCATTTTAAGTCTATTTTCTTGCCCTTCAGGAGTTTGCTGTTAATCACAAGGTCTTTTATAGCTTGATTTTTGGGAGCATTCTTTCCTTTCACAGCAGTTTCACATTGCAGTCACAACCTTTTCTCTCTGCCTGGGGTTCACATTCAACCAGGCGTACTGACATTTGAAAGTCCCACATGGAACAATCAGTGTTCTTGTGTCTGAGGCTTTTAATCGTATAGGGAATCCCATGACTTCCATATAATCTCAGTATGACTGCAGGCGTGCAACTGTGAACCTGTCACCAGGGGCACGGTGCACCATTGTAAACACGTTTGCCCAAAGCCCGGGACATGATCAACTTTTGTATCGCGAATCTCATTTCCAATGTAATACGAGTTGGCACTGCCATCTGTATGGCATGGCAGTTTTTAGACAATGGATTAACAATATTATTTTTAACACCCGCAAAGGTTGAATCCAAGAAAGTCCCGTTGCCTCGATTTGACTTTTGCAGATTACCATGACCTGGATGACTGAGAATCAACATAGACACAGTGTTTCTCAGACTATAAAAGGTTGATTTATAACATCTGTAGACCAATTCCCCTGTTCTAATGCGTCATTCCTTAAAATTGAAGTTAAGTGCTCAGTAATCTGGTTATAAAAGTCATAGGGCTTTTTCTGTGCTTAAATGTGAGTACCGTATTTTCTGGATTATAAATCTCTCCGGAGTATAAATTCCACTAGCCATAAAATGCATAATAAAGAAAAAAAAACATCTATAAGTTGCACTGGAGTAAAAATCGCGTTTTGGGGGGGAAATTTATTTGATAACATCCAACACTAAGAACAGACATGTCATCTTGAAAGGCAATTTAAAATAAAAATAAAATGGAGAACAACAGGCTGAATAAGTGTGCGATATGTTAACATTACATATAAACAACGACCTGAGAACGTGCCTGCTATGTTCACGTAATATATTAAGTGTTATTCAGATAACTATTGCATGAAGAACATGCTAACAACTATACCAAACCATGAGTGTCACTCCAAATCACTAAATCCAATGAAATCTTCACCATTCGTATCACTTTGAAACAACTCTGACAACTCCGGAGGTAGAAGATGCGGCGCTTCTTTTTCTACGTCGCATACGTCCGACTCATCGTCGATTTATCAACACAGGCTCAGCGCGCCCTCTTGCGGTTTAATATGAAAATAACGTGAAATGATACAATAATTTGTTAATTATTAATTTCACACATAAATCGCTCCAGAGTAGTTGCACCGCCGGCCAAACTATGAAACAAACTGGGATTTATAGTCCGAAAAATACAGAAAATCTCTGTTATGAGCGCACGTCTCTTGGTGAGTTCCACCATAAATATGTCATGCCTCCATTGTACAAAAATACAGAAAATCTCTGTTATGAGCGCACGTCTGTAAAACTTGGTGAGTTCCACCATAAAGATGTCATGCCTCCATTGTATGAATCATTGATGTCAATGTCTGTTTTAGTGTCTTCTGTATCTGCACCAGTGCCAGAACGGAATGCTGGTTCTGTGTTTTCAAATGAGCAATTATTTCATCCTCTAACTCAAATTGAATTTGGGAATTTTGGCTTTGTTTGTTGTCTGTTTTTCGACCATCTCTTAATGCCGTTCTGTTTTATTCTGTCTGTCCAACAGAGACGATTGCGTCATCTCCGGAGTATCGCCGCAAGAAACATTGTCAATAAGAATGGCTCTCCTCTACTGGACACATACTTCACCCTCCATCTCTGTATAGGAAATCGCATTTCTAGTGGTCAGTGTGAATTGAACTAGTTGGCCTTATTGGAGAGAATATCGTTATCTGGCCCACGTTGCCCAGCAACTTTATCAAAACCATCACAAAATGAAACAAAAAAACCCAACAACTTTAAATTGATTTCTGTGACTGATTTTCCTTCATTTGTATGTGTCCTTTTAATCACCGTTTCCTCATGTCTTTTTAGATTTTTACAAGAGTGAAGTCATACGTGACTCACTGGTGAGTATGATTTTTATTTGTAAAAATTAATTAATTAATTGGAATAGCAGTCTCAAAGTATGAAAAATACAAAAAAAATTTGAAGAATTAAGCAGCATGTGCATCATAATTCGTTGTGACTGTATGCTTTTTTTCCGTCTGTGCATCTTGACCACCAAGTCAGTATATCACAGACATTCATAAAATGCAATGAAATTATTATATTTTTTTGCCAAGGATACAGAAAAATATGCCTGTGAATATTGTATTCTGTTGTCTGTGTATTGCACCACCATTAGTGTTGAAACATCCATTACTTAAAGGATTTGTTAGCCCATCAACGGAATTTTGCATTGTTTGTTAGCATTAAGCTAAGCAGACTTTCCCAAGGCAAACCCATGTTTTAAAAACTGATGGTATCATTTTCTTTGTTTTATGGAACCACAAGGGTTAATTTGACAGTAATCTTTCACTGGCAGTGGCATTAAATATCTTCAAGGGCATTTTCGGAAGAATCATTTTTACTGTCTTCCAAACTGCCACTTTTTGTGAAATCAGTTGAATAGAGTTTGCAGCGACGATCAAATTGTTGCTGTCAATTAGAGCCCACTCCCCCCAAAAAATAGACCAAATGATGGCTCGTATATTAAAAAACTCAAAAGTCGGATCACTTTTATCTCAAGGCAACACTGTCTGTCATTTTTGGTATGGGGCACGCCTTGATTTTTTTTTTTTCTTTTTCTCTATTGTATGAATTTGGAGGAAATCAGTACAGACCTTTCAGCAAGGACTGGGGAAGAAAGAGTGTGTGTGTGTGTGTGTGTGTGTGGTGACACAATTGTGATAGTAACTGTGGTCTCAAAGGGTCCAAGTGCCTTTGAATTGGGTCCAAGTGACTTTTGGTCAAGGAGTTCATTGGTGGACTGAACAAATTTGATTTAAGTTCACCAACATTTTGATCTCATTCATTGATATCTCAATTTCCCTGTTTAAAATGGTAATCTTTTTAAGTGGGGCCCCAATTCTACTCTGGGCCTCTGTATTTAAAGGAGATCTTTCAACACTACTCCAAGTCGGCTCCACATGTTGTTGTCAGCCTTGCTGTTGAGTCATGAGCTGACCTAAGATGGTTTCAGGCATGCTGCTCGGTACCCCCCCGGGAGACCTCGTAAAGCATGACCAGAAGTCATGACTCCTTTCAACTCTGTGCTCAGTTTCCCCTCAAACAATTTACTGTTGTTGCAGCTAAAAGTTTTCTCGTATTCTGTCTCAATCCTGTCATCTGTCTTCATGAGAAATGTTTCCTGTCGAATCTTCCTGTTTTCATTCAACAGTGGCTTTCTACTTCCTATTCGGTGACTCTCACTAGTTCTGTGCACTGTCACGGGATGTTTTTTTTTTTTTTTGCAGCTCAGTGTCCTCTCTTGGGCTAAACAATGAATCAAATTAAATTTGACATTAAAGTTGAACGGATGGCAGATTTCCAATAGCAAAGGCTGCAATTTCAAAAAAGAATCACATTTTGATTACTTTTCAAAATTTCAGGCCTTATCCTCTCCTGTCTGTCTGCGAGTGAGATTCAAACAGATTTCCGTCTCCTATTCAGAGACTGATTTCAACATATCACCGAGGGAAGAATCAAATTTTGACACCAACCTTAAAGCGTACTTCGAAAAGTAATTTGTGAAATCACGTGAGTCTTAACAACAAAAGTCAGATCTGCTTCCCGTACGTAGTGCTGCTTTTTGTATTAGCGTCCCCACATAGGACGGAGTCCTTTAAATCGGCCCTCTCGAACCATTTCATGCACCCTGTAACCTGATAACATGTTAAGCTGTCCACTGTAGTAACTGCTGTCCCTCAAAGGGTTCATGATGTAAACAATCCCATTATGACATTAAATTTGACAGATGTATGCATTTCTGTCCAATATTCACACTAAGGTAATATTTTGACCTTTCTCACATAATTAAATAATACTTAACATTCGGTGCAAGAGAATCCGTTCTTTTTGTTAATTCAAATTACCGTACAGTGATATTTTACTGATGATCTATATGTGTGCGTGTTCTTAATTTTAAGAATCCTACTTGGAGGAGTCTGGACTTTGGCATGTTGCCGGACCTTCTGGACACCTCGGTGTCTTGCTTTGTGGTGAGGATCTGGGGAGGACAGGATGCACAGTACCAGCTCCTCATAGAATGGAAAGTTAATCTCGATGGCCTCCGGTACACAGGGCAGCAGGTCAGCCACCACACATGAAACTATAATGTCATCGTAAACTTTATACGTGGGATGCATGTAAGACAAATTTATGGGCATTCATTAAAAAAAATAAATAAATTAATTTAAAAAAAAAAATACTCTGCATGGAACACTCTCCAATAACTTCATAAAATTTACCAGAACTGTTATTTGTTCACCCAAGCATATGAAACAAGCATTACTCTTTGTCCAGTGAGCCTGTATTGTTGTTATCTCCACAGATTCGATCCAGGAATACAAATGAGATCATATTTGGGTTGAATGATGGCTACTACGTGGCTGACTTTGACCATAAGGTACGTTATTTGTCCAATTTCCAGAGAGCTCTTGGATCATGATTTGTGACAATGTGCCTGATTTCATCGCTAATGTACTTCTGTCACAGGATCATTTGGAGCGCAAGAAAAATAGTCTACTTCAGGTCGACCAGAGCTCAGTCAGAAATTCCTACAGTGTTTTCTCCTTGCTCAGGTAAGATTAATTACCATAGGATGAAACAAGAGGATATGGTATTGGGCAAATCCAAGTTATGGGTTAATTTTTATTAATTTTTTCTGCCCATGCTAAAATTAAAGCAAATGCTGATGTATGTACTATTGTTCTTCTTTCGAATTATAGATATTTATTTATTGTGAAATGTATTACTTGGGGCGGCCCGGTGGTCCAGTGGTTAGGGCGTCGACCTCACAGTGCAGAGGTCTTGGGTTCAATCCCTGGTCCGGCCTCCCTGTGTGGAATTTGTTCTCCGGGCCTGCGTGGTTTTTCTCCGGGTACTCTGGTTTCCTCCCGCATTCCAAAAACATGAATGGCAGGTTAATAGAACACTCTAAATTGTCCCTAGGTGTGAGTGTGAGTGCAGATGGTTGTTCGTTTCTATGTGCCCGCCTACTGCCCGAAGATGGCTGGGATAGGCTCCAGCACCCGTGGTGACTCTTGTGAGGATAAAGTGGATCGGAAAATGAATGAATGAATGAATGTGTTACTGGGCATGTCTGGCTCACAGTGGAGCAGTCCTGGGTTTCAATGTGAGCCCTCATATGTAAAATCAGGGTCACCAACGCCGGTTCTTGAGAGCCCCCTATTCAATGTTTTAGGGATCTTCCTCCTCCAACACAGCTGATTCAAATGGTGGTGGACAGGTGTCCTTGAGCACCAGAGTGGGTGACTCGTGCTCTAAATTGTGAAAGAAATAAAAAATTGGGGTTCGTTTTTTAAAGTTTTTGAATTGGGTAAATATATGCTTGCTGTCGTATTTGCATGGTGATGAAATACTTCACTGGCAAAATAGATGCAGCCCAAAGTAAGACCACCAGAGGGAGGTGGTGATTTGTTGAGTGAGTGTCATAGGGGGAAATCCTGCCTCACCATTTTAAGACTCTCCAAACAATACGCTGACATTTGTTGGTAAACATTAGTTTGCTTTTTAGTATCTATAAAATGTAAGAAGTACTTACAGAAGCCACAGGGGCATTCCTTGGGGGGAGCCCTGTGGTAAATATAGCCAGATGACGTACTAGGCTCTAATTACACACATTTAGCCGAAGGTCCTTCAAATTTGGATGGTTAAAGTTCGACTTTACCAATAATAAGAGAAACATCCTGTCATTTGGGTCATTAGGGCAGTTTCCACTAACATTTTCAGACTATTTAAACATTTAAACAAGGGTTTAAAAATGAGTCCCATGGATTCAGAGTGCAATGAAATGAAAGGAATTATGCAATAGTCTTTTAAACGCTACTCATTTTATCTAGACGTACCATTGGTTTATATGAGAGGAGAGCGGACCTCACAACTTGCGGTACTAGTTTAGTCTAGTTTACCTCTGCCCTTTTGCTTCTTCTGTTATTACAGCTTTCTTTTCCGCTTTCTTTCTTTTCGTCCGCACCCAGTGGGACTCCACATGGTTTAGCACGGTTACGGTGATCTATCTTTGGCCCTCCTGCTGCTGTGGCCTGCAACTCCTTACACCTATTAAGATTCTTCCCTGGTTTGGGTGTGTTGATTTGCTAAAAATTGTAGAAGGATTTGATATATTTGGACACCACGAGAGATTCTCTTCAGGCCCCAGTGATAGACAGGCATTATGGGCAGGATTCTCTAATTTAACCCTTTCAGGCACCAATAATAACATCATAACCTGTCCACTGTAGTAACCGCTGTCCCCGAAAGCGTTAACTTGGGAATTGATTAAAAAAAAAAAAGAATCATCGTCATCTACTGTATGTTGTCAGTTTCTGTGTTTAGCAAGCTTTCTGATGATACCGGCATTTTGAAAATAGGATCAAGAGTCAGAAAATTCTGATTGTTTTGGGGCCATCTTTTGCACCTTTAAACCTTAGATGCTTGAATAATTACGGTAAGCTTGGAAACCTCAAAACCCCGCGTGCATATAACTTAAAATTTTCACAAGCCCTGGGTTTTATCCGACACCCTGTTGTATCGAATGTCACGGTCAAAGGATCGAATGTTTTTGTTTGACAGATGATTATCATCTTCAAGGGTCGAGTGCACAGCCATAGTCATAACTTCCTGTAAATCCTGTTTAGTTGTTTGGTGTCTGTCTTGTGTTGGAATAAGAAAGTTGCCGTGGTTAATGAGAATACTTGAGGTTCTCTGGACAGTTGCCCTGTAATTGAACCCCTACGGGTGCAGATGGCACTATCCGCCGGCTTCACTCTGGTTCATATGTTGTGCGATTGTGCCTGAGCGCCAGGCCAAAGGCAAAAAAAAAAGAAGAAGGAACGATGGGGGCTGACATGCGTGAAAAGAAGAGTGCAGATAACTGTTCTCACCTGGTGGGGGGGAGACCGTATCAGATTCTCCAATTGCAATCACCTAAACACATGAAGCTGTCAAAACAGATTTGCCCTGATGTTCCAAACCTCTATCTTCAACTGTCATCACTGTCACCTCAAGCAGATTAAAAAGTGTGGGCATCAAATATGAAATGATTTTACTGCAGGTGGCCTCAATTATCTTTACATATTTTTTTATTATTATTTTTTAGCTTAGCCGCAGGAAAGAGTTTCATCTTGGGGGGAAAAAAGGCCCCTGAGGATTTTTAAAATTATCCCAGCATAATTCAAGTCTGTGTAAAATGAGACTCTCGCACCAAATCCAGAGTACACGCCACAGGAAATCTCAATTCACACCACTCTGACCCAAACTATTTGATCCAGATTTAAAATTGCATGTTTGTCATACATTGGGTTAGGAAATACATGGTACTCTACGGCACCTGAGTCGCATTTAAGTTCCCCATCCCTTGTCTAAGAAATTGTAGATGCTGTTTTCATTATTGCTCTTTAAACTGTGTCATGCCGGGAAGGAGTTGAAAAAATGTGCTGAAACTTTTTTTCCCCCAATATATATATATATATATTTTTGCCTTACTGTAGGCTCCACACAGCCCAAAGAGCCATCAAACAGACCCAAGTGACAGTGCAAAAGATCGGGAAGGAGATTGAGGAGAAGCTGAGAACAACAGCAACATGCACCGTGCGGGTGAGTGCAGTCACACACCAACAATGAATTTGATTGCGCTGATAACTGTTAGCCTCGGGCAACTTAATTGCTTCTGTTCAGTCCCCCTCCATGTCTTCAATTAGTAAATTGGTTGATTTATAGACATGATAACTTGAATTTCACATTTCTTTTGAGAAAATATATAAAGATGTGATGAGTTGAGACGCGACCTTACCACGGGGCGGTAATTGCTGCGATCGGCAATATGCTGCCTATCTGCCTTTGTACTAATAAACATCTGCTGAGCTTGTTGCATGAAAAGCTCAACCGGATTTAAGCTTGTATCACCCAAACTAATACGAGATATAATTTCACACACTCCCTGACCAGTTATTGTTTCTTTTCGTTTTGGTTGCTTAACGGAGCGGTGCAGAAGGAGAAATAGTCCATCTGTCAAAATGGATCCAAGATCAATTGTTTATGTTCCCCTCCAAATGTCATATCCTCGAGTGGGATACAAAGCAAACGCACAAAAGCATATCTAACATTTTTGGAATTGGTAGCCACACAGCTGTGAAAGCGACACTCTGATCCCAAGTTTGATATATTTATTTTAAATACAGTACCGGCTTTATTTGCCTCCGCTGTCCTGTGCTGCTAGTCAAGTGGCTCGAGGCAGTGATATCTTTTCTGTTTTTATCCTGTAGGTAGACTTTCCTTTAAGAGGAATTCATTTTTAACCTGACTTGTCAAAATCAGTTGTTAGTGGCGTTAGATTCACCATGAGTAAATTAGTAGCCTGCTAAATAACACATGGAGATTTTGTTTCCCCGCTGTTGACACCTCAGTGGTGGTGGCCAGTGTGTGCTAGTCTAGTCATGTTCGTAAACATGCTGTGTTTACATTTAAGGCTTTTTCATCACGTGGGAAAGGAGTGGCTTGCCCTCTCCTGGTCAGCGATGAGATTCTACCCCAGGAGAGGAGTTCAAGTACCTTGGGGTCTTGCTCATGAGCGAGGGCGGAAAGGGGTGGGAGATTGAATGGGTGGATCGGATCAGTACAGTAGTGTCAAACATACGACCTGCGGGCTGGAACCGGCCCCCAATGAGGTTCGATCAGGCCCGCAGGATAATTTAAAAGTGAAAAAAATGCATAAAAGAGATGGAATGAATATTTTTATTAAGGTGCAATTCATGGCGTATCCACTAGGGGACACGCTGTTTTGACCAGAGTAGAAGACAACAGCAGTCTCAGTCTGTCACTGAGACAACCCAACACAGCAAATGCTATCAAGGACATGTGAATACTTTATTCTTTATACATTTAATAGCACTCTCCTTAGTTTGTAAGGTGTAGGCAGGGATTACATTTAGATTTTATATGCGCATGTGTAAATGGTTAAAAAATCCCTTTCTTTATAAATCTCGTTTAATCTTAAAGTGCATTACTATATTTTTCAATACCAATTACTTGTTTCAAGTTTTGTGCCTCTGTACAATCAGTGGGATCAGTTGCAATGCATATATGTGAATGATAAAAATCAATTGCACATTTGTCTCAGGAAATCTTAAGGTGCTTCATGAAATGTTTTGTAAAAGATATGTTCTTAAATTTCAACATTTTCCTAATGTTCTTGTGTTTCTTTAGACCAAAACAAAGGAAAGACATATTATTTTGGTTATTTATAGCAGAGTATGGTATAATTTTAATGGTCCGGCCCACTTGACATCTACCGAGGCCGTATGCGGCCGACAATGTGAAATGAGTTTGACACCCCTGGTGTAGCGTCTGCAGAGATGCGAATTGTGTTAGCCTGTCGTGGCGAAGAAGGTTTCGATTAACCAGTCTGTCTGCGCTCCTACCCTCACCTAATAGTAACGAGCCGTGGGTCATGATCAAAAGAACAAGAGTCCGGACGCAATTGGCTGAAATTTGTTTCCTCCGCAGGGTGTCCGGGTTCGCCTTTAGAGATCGGATGAGAAGCTTGGCCATCCTCAAGAGTCAAGCCGCTTATCCTCTCTCTTCAACTTTCATTATCCATTTAGTTTTAAGAAAATTACTTCATATAGAAATAAAATGTCTCAGTACTCTAACCCTAAAAAGAATGTAAAGTCGTGATCATGTTGTCAATTTATTTTTATAGCAACCAACCTATGATCAACAGTATACAGTTATTGCTTGTTTGAGTGGCCTGGTTGAATTACGGATTCCATGCAATGATCGAATAATTTGCAACACTTCTCTTGCTACTAATGGCAATTTCAGGGTCCATCAGAAATCCTAAATATCAGGAGTAAGATCGTTGAACCACACACAAGCCACACTCATTTATAAACTGTGCTAGTTTATAACATGCACACAAATACAATATTACACATAGAAATGGAAGAGAAACAACAAGTGCCAACCTTACCGGGAAATGGAAACAACACAAAAACAACACGTTCTTGGGATCAGGGAAAATACGCAAATGAGAGCTGCAGGAAGCTAAGGGAATAAAGTCCCGATTTATAGTCCGACCTTTACACTATTTGTACGATCCTGTTTTTTTTTTCCTTTTAGAAACTAGTTGTTTTCCATCACACTCCATCGCTATTAATAATACCCATTTTCTCCCCTTTTCCTTACCGCCAGACCTTCGTACTTATTAAAGGCATGCCAGACAATTGGCTTGACTTAGTTGCACCATAAAATGGAGGCTCCATTCTTTTGTCACAAAGATGCCTTTTCAAAGTCTTGTCGCTGATATTTCCTGCTTATTGAAACATTTCTTAAAACCCCCCATTCAGAGCTCACATCAGCTAATAAATCACATAATCCTTGTTTTCTACTGTTTGGTACCAGCCCACCAACTTGGAATGAGTGCAGTATTGTGGAGCTCTTCTAAGGGTTTTTTTCCCCCTCTTTGCCTTTGTAGAGCTTCATATGACACTGTGAGCATCATAGAGCGAGCCTAGATCAAAGTAGCGCAGAGTGGCGGCCACCAACCTCATCGCATGGCCCTTTCACCCCATCACCCACCCTCAGCCATTAATCTCCTGGGTTCCAACGTGCTTCCCCCACGCCTGCTGTGTATTTACACAGCTGACCCATTACTGTTTGATGTTCAGTAGGAATCACAGGCACCAGTGCTGGCTTACTGTCGCGCGCACATGCGCGTGCACGACTCATCAACTGGGCTGCTCAAACTTGATTCATTTGTGTCCAAGCCATTGGTGGTTTACATTCAAAGCATTTGTGTCCAAAGCATATTTCGGGACCGACACTCTAATTCAGCTTTGCTCTACAATGATTACTTTTAACTGTCATGTTTTCCTAATTTCTGAAGTTTTTACGAAGAAGCGTAATCTTTGTCTGATCCTTTGCTACGATCCCTATCTAAGTAGATGTGTGAGGGTTGCAGAGAGGGTTGGCCTGCTACTGGATCAACATCAAGGTTGAATTGTTCACCCCAACATGGCGTCTTTCGAAAGCTCTTTAAAAAAATAATAATAAAGGACCCTTGTTGTCCTTTAATGTGTCATCCTGGAATTATATTTAATTATAGCTTCCTAATTTTGTCTTTGAATCAGGTGCTTATTTCAAAGAAAGTACTTTTTTAAGAAAAAAAAATCTTGCTTCATAAATAGAAGCACATCGACTAACCATTTCCGTGTTTAGATTTGAGAACCAGTTATATCACGCTTGCTTTTTTTCCCATGTCTCTGCAATAGGCATTTAGTTACACAAGAGGGAGATGAGGTCCTGTGCAGCTTGCTTAGTCAGTGTTTACTATGGATGTGACAGGCAGGTTAACCATGATACATACAGGTCACACAACCTGCCAATCAAGGACGGTTGGAAACTGCCCAAATAGTCCCGGGAATAAAAGTCTAATCAGTAAATGTAAGTGAAAACCGATGTGTGACACTGTCTTGTGGAAGACACCGAACGTTCTCCGTAAGGTTATTGTTTTAGCTATCATCTGGCGTTGGTTTTCTGTACCACTTGTCATCATTAGAGTCACAGGTAACTGGAGCCGATCCCAGCAGACTTTGGGCAAGAGACATGGTACACCCTAGACCTGTAGCTAGCCAATGACAGCAAACCACTCACACTCACCGCTTCAGTGTGGACAATTTCGAGTCGGTTCAATTAGCCAACCATGTATGAAAGGAAGGAAGCCAGAGTACCTGGAGAAAAAACAACCCCAAGCATGTTGTGACCATGTCAACTCAAAACCGGATGCACTGAGCCAAATCTTATTTTAGTTTATTGTATATATTTTTTTTACAAACCCCCAAAAATCCAAACCCCCAAAACATTCAGTATACATAATAATACTTGGAGACATAATACGATATAAAATTAAAAGCCCCATATCAGCAGGCCTCGGCTCCCATACCGTTTTCGCAACTCTGAACAGGATCAACAATATGCAAAATATATGGATGGATAGACCTTTGCTGAAGTGCTTTAAATGTCATTCTGAAGGGGCGACAAGGTTTTAAACACACACACTGCTGTGACCGCTTCGTGAATGTTTTCCTTAATATCCCTCCCTGTGTGCTCCTTTTCGTTTGCTCTGAGCAGAAAAAAGAGCGGGAGTGCATGCAGCTGCGTTTAGCTGTGCTTCATAGTGAACTGCAGCGGCAGAGGAAGGCTCTTGGCAGAGAAATAGATGTGCGGCAGAAGGACATGGCACAGCTTCAGAAGAAAGGTAAGATGTACAGGCTACAGGCAAACAGATTTACTTACGCCACATGTAAATGAATTCATTGATGCCAACAAGCTTACAAATTCACCCAAACAGCTATCTTCAATGCATACATGCACTCAAGTCACCAACTGTATTTATAGAGCACTTTAAAACAACCGTCGCTGTATACCAAGTGCTGTACATGGAGCAAAAAAGTCATACAACAACAAAGGATGAAACAATAAATTAATAAGAAAGACCGTAAAAAGCCCCAAAACAGTAAAACTAAAATCCAGTCTCTGCTCAGTCAAAAGCCAAAGAATAAAAATGACTTTTTGAGGGGTGGAGAAGCGCAGAGAGATAAGGTTGGGGGAGACCATTTAAAGATTTGAAAACAAATAATACAATCTTAAAAAGCACTCTAAAATGAACAGGGAGCCAGTGAAGGGATGCCACAGTAGGAGTTATGTGCTAACTCTTACGAGTACCATTCAAAGGGTGAGCGGCAGCATTTTGGACCAACTGGAGATGCTTGATGGAGGATTGGCTGACTCCAAAATAAAGTGCATTACAGTAATCCATCTAAGATGTGACAAATTACTGTTTCAAAGTGCTGTTGAGAAAGGAGAGGCTTTACTTTCGCCAGCTTCCTAAGATGAAAGAAGCTGAATTTAACAACAGCATCAATTTGCCTGTCCAGATTAAAATCCATGTTGAAGACTGTTGGCTTTTGGTAAGAAGCCAGTCAGACCAAGTCTGCAGGATTAGATGTACAAGGGCCAAACATCATCACTTCCGTTTTCTTTTCATTGAAAGTCAAGAAATTCAGTGCTATCCAGTTCTTGATTTCCTCCAAATAGGACAAAAGTGGCCTGAATTAGATTGTCGAGTTTGTAGCAGGTTATGTTGCATATTATAGTATGCCCCACATCGTAACTTCACTTCATTTGTCGTTCTGAGTGTTGTGTAAAGTGCCCTTGAGCCAAGCCCTGAACACAAAGCCATTTGTGGGAGAAGTTTTTGTCAAATGCTTTAAACTGAGTGAATGTTGCTCAACAACCGCTGTTACCGGTTTAATGGTAATGCAGCTGTGTATGAAAGTGTGGAACTAATTACAGCCCAACACAGGTGTGAGGAGACGAATCGCAGGAAATCAAACCAAAAGAGTACGGTAACAAAAAAGACACAATGAATGGAATGTGAAAACACAACCACAAACACACTTAATTTAAAATATCGTGCCGTACTTGTGATTCAGGCATTCTGTGCCAGGGTTTGACTCAATCCCATCGTGTCTGCAGTTTCTTGCGTTGGTGTTATTTGAGCTGAAATGTAATTTACCGCAGCTCCCTCATGTTCATTGGGAAGTGGAAGGTGAATGCGAGGGCATGGCTCATGAAGCTTGGTTTGTCAAGCTCACGAATGAATTAACCCAAATTCTAGCGCAGGTGTACTCAGGTATGCTAGCGCCAAAGTATTTTGCTAGTTTGTGCGCCTTTGTCTGTTTGTGGAGGGGATCACCAAAGTTTGACTGGACGGTTATTAAAGAGGCAAAAAAAAAAGTGCATTTGTAACCAGGGAATCCCAAACTATACTTATGAACAATGCTGTGTTTTCTTAAAATGTTAAATCAGCCCAAAACAATTTGTTTTGCTACCATGCTCAATTGATTACACTCGTGGAAGACAGGTTTTACCCTTTTTATTTCAGCAGCACATTTTTGGCCTGACTCGATTATTTTATGGACATTATAAAGTGCTTATGATGACGCTTAACATGGCAGTGGAGAGTTTTTCCGACTTTCAGTTGAATTTTTGGTTTGAATTTACCCTCCGCCCGACTTGTTTTACACCCACAATCTTAAAGAAGCATGCGCAGTTGATTTAGTGTAAGTGATGATTCCATTAAAACCATTTGTTTTCCATTTGTAAATCTTGACACATTACAGTGCTAATTAGATTCAGGCTTCTTTGTACATTTTAGTGACGGTTTTGCACATTGGTGGAAGTGCGACGTGATACATCCCTCGAGGGCATCCGGAATGGATTGTTAGCCTCCATTCCTCAGCGCAATCTCATCTGTACCTGGCCGTGTGGTCTCCACATTTCTCACGTAGCTAAAGGGCCCATTAGCAAATAATTCAACCTCCCCGGAAACTGGCCTCTTTCAAAACAAATGGCCTCAAAAACCCAAACATCTTGGAAAGACTCTTTCTGCGTGCGTGTGTGTGTGTTGCATGCCTGTATGAGAACTACAGTAGCAGATAAAGATGAGTTGAGCGTCAGCTGCCGATGTTTTAGTGAGAAAACAATGAGAATATTGCTACGGACTTGCCTCTTTTTCATCTTGGACATTGTTGGCATAGTAAACACAAAACCTGAGCTGTTTGTATTATCCTGATGACAGCTATAACGGGCCACTTGGTGCCTGCTAATCCACTTGGTGGGACAGACTCCTGCTAATTTACTTGACTTTCGGACTTCTGCATATTTTGCGCACAATTCATAACAGAAAGCTGAGGCGAAAATCGTTCTTTCCTTTTCACAGATGTGAATTTAAAATACAAGCTGTTCACCCCTAGCTCCTCAGTAGTGGATTTGTCGGGGGTGGGGGGGTTACACTCTAATTTCCTTTCTTTGAGCTTTAGAAGACAACATAAATCAGGCCGTGAACGGCGTTTATTATGATTGGTCAAACTAGTTTTTCTTATGCTTTGTATAGCAGTCAGAGCTCCTGGCCGATAAATGTCAGTTGTGTGTGTTCGTTATAGTTTTGTGCAGCAATGGTATGCAGTGATATTTAACAAAACAAATGAACTTCAGAAAAGGTCTTTTATTCAAGCTAAAAACCATGAGGGTTCTTCTACCGGTGGCTCAGCGGGACACATTTGCTTTTTCCAGTGGTCTTGACTGAAACTCGGGACTTACTCGCATTGCTGATTTAGTTGTCCTTTTATTCTTAAAACATGATGTGGCGGAGCTATTGGTGGAATTTGGCATCGTCCACCCCCCACTCAGTGTGGTCTCATGGTTTCAAAATGCTCCGAGTAACATTTGAACTTGTTTGTTCTAAAGACATTCAAGCATTATTTATGGCCACTTTTTGCAGTTACCAGGCTTTTTCCTGGCTCAAATTGAGGCAGAGGCGGTACCATGTTGACCATGCGCCATGACGTGCATGTACAGTCATGCCTCGGTTTTCGACCACAATCCGTTCCAGAAGGCTGTTCGAAAACCGATTTGTTCGAAAACCGAAACCATGCTCTTTTTTAAAAAAAAAAAATCTTGATTGAACACGTCTGTTCACAATGGAACGCTACACGAGGAAGCGTCACTTCCTTGTCTACCAGAGGAAGCATCACTTCCTCGTGTAAGGAAGGCGAGAGGAGTCAAGTGACGCATTCAAGTGCGCTCAGTTTGTTCGAGAACCGAAATTCAGTCGTCATCTGAGGCATAAAAAAAGCTCAATTTTTGGTTGAAAAGCGATTTGGTCGAGAACAGAGACGTTCGAAAACCGAGGTTTGACTGTATTCTGTAAATTCAACGGACTCACTTTCTTTTACAGGAAACATACTTTGTTACGTGTTCAAACAATCCATCCATCCATCCATTTTCCGAACCGCTTTATCCTCACTAGGGTCACGGGGCGTGCTGGAGCCTATCCTAGCTGTCGTCGGGCAGTAGGCGGGGGACACCCTGAACTGGTTGCCAGCCAATCGCAGGGCACACAGAGATGAACAACCATCCGCGCTCACGCTTAGGGACAATTTAGAGTGTTCAATCAGCCTGCCATGCATGTTTTTGGAATGTGGGAGAAAACAGGAGTACCCGGAGAAAACCCGGGGAGAACATGCAAACTCCACATAGGGAGGCCGGAACTGCAATTGAACCCGGTACCTCTGCACTGCGAGGTCGACGCGGTGTTCCAATAAGAATATGACTATTATCATGTTAAAGCATCCATTTATTAAAACTTGCATAGAAGAACGATGGGCACATAGCTTGTGTGGTGGGGGCCAATTTTGTTTGAGACAATCATAGATTATTTTAAAGCAGGCTTCAAGCGCACTGTGGTGCAAAAAAAAAAAAAGAATCTTAAACTATACTATTTTAGTTTTTGTAACTTTATTAGTTGGGTCTTTTTATGTGGAATACACTTCCTGACACAACTGACCCATTTTTTATTTAATCCAAGCTTGGGGCTGGCAGTTGCTGGATATAGAGGCACGGACCAAAAATTGTATCCGTGACGTCCATGTGAAAGTCAGCAGCATGTACCCCACTACACCTTGCCTATTGTAGAGGTCGCAGAGTTCAGGCCACATTGCACAACACTGAACTGGAGTTTGTCATACTGTGAAACCCAGCCAAGAACCGTGGGACCTGAGGTTGTTTTAGTCAAGAGATTTTAGTGCGCTTCCTGATTGATTTATTGCCATGATGATCATTTCAACAGCAGCTGGCGCAGCCTTTTTTCATTATATATCCACGGTAAACTATGGATCCTCAATAGTGGGTAATTTTTTAAAATACAAAATTACACATATCCAATTCGTGTACTGCACGCATATTGCTGTATTTTATCTTTCTGTGCCAGTAAAGTTGGTGACGAGATGGAAGAAGAGATTGGCAGTGCTGGGAATTACATGAAAGCAACAATGCAATAAGAGATATGGCCTGTCTGATCTGTGTCTCTTTGAAGAAGAACTGCTTTTTTTTTCCTTTTTCTTTTTTTTTCTCGCCCCCACCTCTGTTCCTGCGGGAGTTTGAGCTCAATGTCGAGCAGAATGGCCCTGGGTGCGAGTTTTCTGGTCAAAGTCTGTTTCTGCTTTAGAATATTATTGCTCAAGGTTAGAGCCATGTGAAATACTCTTAGCTCACTTACATGAGCAATGAGATGACCCGCTTATTAAAATGATCATCATTGCATTTGTGATATGCAGGATTTAATTTTTGCATTGCATTTTGCTACTTGAAGTTTGAACCGTGCAACTATTGCAGTGTCATGGATAAGTCTTCTGCACAAGTTTATTGCTTTGCAGTTAACTATCCTTAGATCTCACCTGAACTGTTTCCAGAACAGAGCACCCTCACACAAGGCAATTCAATCTTTTTGTCTTATGTGAGTGTGCCTTGCTCAAGCCACTTTGTAAAATATAAATTACCAGAGAAAATCAGAAAAAGGAACAAAGTCAAAGCCATCGGTACTCTCCTTCGTGCATATGCATTTCGGATATATTGTGTGATTAACGTGATTGTTCCTCCCCACAGTTTGTATGATAAACTCGACCTTTACACAGTTAAAATAAAACAAACAAATCGACATAAGGCACCCAATGAGAAAAGTTGCAGTACTGATGTGTATTTGAAGTGAATTTTTTTTTTCAAACTGCCAGTTTAAAAGCGAGTGAAAAATAAAGACGCTAGAGACTAGGTCAAGATTTTATTATCATATGAAATAAGGAAATGAGTAAGAACAATTAAAAAGATAAACATCCATCCATTCATTACCTGATTCTCTTATCCTCTCGTGGGTCGCGGGCATGCTGGAGCCTGTTCCAGCTGTCTTTGGGCATATAAAACATTTTTTTTTACCCAACAGGATATCATATTTCATCACCTTACTGTGGTGGAGGGATTTGCCTGTCCCAATAATTCTAGGAGCTAAGTTGTCTTGGGGCTTTAGGCCCCTGGCAGACTCACCCATGGCAAATAGGTCCTAGGTAAGGGACCAGACAAAGCACGGCTCAGAGACCCCTGATGATGAGTGACAAATTTGGAACACGTTCTCTCTTGCCCGGACACGGGTCACCGGGGCCCCCCTATGGAGCCAGCCCTGGAGGTGGGGCTCGCTGGCGAGCGCCTGGTGGCCGGGCCTGCACCCATGGGGGGGCCCCGGCCAGAGTCAGCTCAAAAAGGCAACATGGGTTCCCCTTCGCATGGGCTCACCACCTCTGGGAGGGTGACAAGCTCGGTCATCCGGGAGGGACTCAGAGTCGAGCCGCTACTTCTCCACATTGAGAGAAGCCAGATGAGGTGGCTCGGGCATCTGCCTAGGAAGCCTACTGTACGCCTCCCAGGTGAGGTTTTTCGGGCATGTCTCACTGGGGATATATTGTGTGATTAACGTGATTGTTCCTCCCCACAGTTTGTATGATAAACTCGACCTTTACACAGTTAAAATAAAACAAACAAATCGACATAAGGCACCCAATGAGAAAAGTTGCAGTACTGATGTGTATTTGAAGTGAATTTTTTTTTTCAAACTGCCAGTTTAAAAGCGAGTGAAAAATAAAGACGCTAGAGACTAGGTCAAGATTTTATTATCATATGAAATAAGGAAATGAGTAAGAACAATTAAAAAGATAAACATCCATCCATTCATTACCTGATTCTCTTATCCTCTCGTGGGTCGCGGGCATGCTGGAGCCTGTTCCAGCTGTCTTTGGGCATATAAAACATTTTTTTTTACCCAACAGGATATCATATTTCATCACCTTACTGTGGTGGAGGGATTTGCCTGTCCCAATAATTCTAGGAGCTAAGTTGTCTTGGGGCTTTAGGCCCCTGGCAGACTCACCCATGGCAAATAGGTCCTAGGTAAGGGACCAGACAAAGCACGGCTCAGAGACCCCTGATGATGAGTGACAAATTTGGAACACGTTCTCTCTTGCCCGGACACGGGTCACCGGGGCCCCCCTATGGAGCCAGCCCTGGAGGTGGGGCTCGCTGGCGAGCGCCTGGTGGCCGGGCCTGCACCCATGGGGGGGCCCCGGCCAGAGTCAGATCAAAAAGGCAACATGGGTTCCCCTTCGCATGGGCTCACCACCTCTGGGAGGGTGACAAGCTCGGTCATCCGGGAGGGACTCAGAGTCGAGCCGCTACTTCTCCACATTGAGAGAAGCCAGATGAGGTGGCTCGGGCATCTGCCTAGGAAGCCTACTGTACGCCTCCCAGGTGAGGTTTTTCGGGCATGTCTCACTGTCAGGAGGCCCCGGGGATGAACCAGGACATACTGGTGAGACTATGTCTCCCGTCTGGCCTGGGAACGTCTTGGATTTCCTCCGGAAGAGTTGGAAGATGTGGCTGAGGAGACGGAAGTGTGGGCTCGTGAGAGTGAATTGGTTTCAGACAATGAAGCAAAGCAAAAGCAAAACAAAAAGAAAAAAAGGCTGTAGCACGCAATCTTTATAAGGCATGATGCCGAAAACTTTGCCAAGCCATTGACACTACCATAGAGACTTATAAAACCTTCCTCATCATTGTGAAGGAGCAGCAAGAGCTGCAGCGTATCACCACGTTCCTCTAGCCTTAAAGTCCTAGCAAAATTTACAGCTTCTCCCAAAGCGCCTGAACGAAAAGATGCGATGCTACGGTAATGTTTGAAATCATATCAGTGTTTTGGGGTAATAGTTTGTGGTATTTTTATTGATTTACCCAATTAAACGTCATAGTTCTACTGGTATTTAGAGGCTGACTGTGTCACAGCCCCAATTTGTACCCTGATTTGCATGTTATATTACATATTATTCATTTTTTCCAAATACTTCATTTTTTTGATTGTATTTATGAAACAATTAACTACATTTTTGTTGTATCTACATACAATGACAATAAAGGCTTTGTGTTGGATTCTACTTTCTCTCCAGTGTGTGCGCTTGCTGATGCGTGTCAGATTTTTCTATTTGCAAATTGGATATGTCTGGTTTCTGTGTCATCAGATGGAAATGGTTTTTCTTCCACTCATCAAAATGATTTGATCACAAGTACAAATTACTGTTGCAGCCAATTATGCACTACTCTGGTTGTTCGGATGCAGCAAGACGTAACGCAACATGCACCCATTAACAGAAGCTTCCCCCCCAACCCTACCTTGTTGTCTTTTAGGGGAATTGTATTCTGCTCAACATCAAAGTCTGAAGGAGGAGAGAGAATCCTTAACTATGCTGCATAAGGAATGTACGGCCAAGAGGTATGTGTGAATCTTTAATTCTCTCCCCCCCAGCACCGAAGACACTTTGTAATGCATACTACTAAAGGATGTGGCACAATGTGTTGCCTAGCGCCTGAGATTACAGCCTGCACTATGCATTTTGTACTTCATATTTGTTCTCAATTCAGAGTATGCATGTCGTGTTTATAAAAAAAAAAAAAAAAAAAAAAAACAGTATTAGGTTGTTTGAATTGGCCTCAGGGTTTACTGAATGTGCAGCGGCTGTCTGCTCTGGATCCAGTTTTGTTCATCTGAGAAGTACCAGGCAGTCACGGATGGTGAACCAGAGACTTCTCAAGGCCAGAAAACATGAAATTAACATCAACACAAGTACATCTGCCTAATATCACTTCCTTGGATCTACAGTACATAATGTTATTCAAATATAATTTATTGTCAAATTTAAATGGCTGTAAACCATTTGCAAAGGAAATTGCACACACGGCCTGGAGCCCCCAGTCTCTTCTTGCCAGTGCATTTTATTTCCAAATAAATATGCCATTGTGGATTATTCTCTCGACATCACACTGGGATTCATTGGGTGTATTGTTCTCCACTGCAGAAAATGTGTGTGTCCACAATATGTCAGTTTTACATGGAACTCACGTTTTCTTTTTTTAAACCATAATTAACACATAAATAAATGTTTAACTTTTTTTTGAAGGAGTTGAAGGATTAGATAAACTATTTTAAATGGTTGCTGATGTGAAACAAAAGTTTTTTTTTTGTTTCCCCCAAAGTTTGTCACCATGTTAGGTTTTGAACAAACTCTCTGCTGGTGGTACCTGAAGGCTTGAAAGAGCAGACTTTACAAGCATGTACATGGAAAACACGCTTGCACGTTCGTGGACAGAGATTTGTGAAGGGCACGCATCTCAGTTTAAATGATTAGATAAGGCAAAGCCCCATTGGACAGTTTGAGCGATTTCAGATCAAACCATTACACTCTAATCTGTCTCCTCTTTTGACTCAGCAAAGCAGGCGCACGTTCGAAAGAAGGTGAATGATAAGATGCCACAATCTTTTTTTGGAATGATACAAAAGATTGTTTCCTCAAAGATTTCAGACAATAACAGATATGATTTTGTGTCAGAATGTTGAGGGTGGGGGGGGGCAATTAAAAGGTGTTTAAATTTGATATACTTTGTGTTATTTCAAGCCAGAAAATATCCATACAGCAAATAAAACCAATTCAAAATGTGATGTTAGTCTGAAAAGTACACTGCAAAAAAATGGCCTGTTGATGTTGGGAGCAAACTCTGTAATGGCAATTTAAACTATAATAAGGCAAGATGAAATGTAAAAGACAGGTCCAGCTGACCATCACGGCACCATGCGGGCCAACTTCAAAATAAAAGCTGACTAAAGGTTCTTGCGTTGGTGTCAATTTATTCTTTGGTTTGCTTTCATTGTGAAGTTGGCCTTTGCTTTGTTAGCGTGTTACGTTATGAATATGTTTGCAACTTTGTTTCAGCTGCAGCGGTTGTGAAAGCTCTATATAAATAAAGCTGTGTTGTATTGTATTGTATTCCCTTTAGCGTAGCTCGATCCATTTTTTTTTCTTTTTTAATTACCGTCCAACTCAAGCAAATGCATCCTCACCTCTTCCTCATTGTTTTCCCTGCGTTGGATGGTATCTCCCCAGAGAGCAGTTCCTGAAGTTCAATGCCCAGCTCACCTTCCGCTGCCGCCAGCTTCTCTCTGAGCTTTCCTACATTTATCCCATTGATGTGGTGAGTGCAAAGCCATTGTTCAAAAATTTGTCACAGTAAAGTATAGAAAGAAACGGCCCAATTGTTACATGTTACCCCTGACATTTTGTTTTCAACTACTGTGACATTTTTTATTGTCCCCATACCCACAGTGTTAGGGAAATTCTCTTTGGTCATTGTTATTTTAATACTTGAAATACCGCATGCCTGTTTCTCATTCTTATTTTAATTCCACAGGCAAATCCGTCAGATTATGTTATCTGCGGTGTAAAGCTGCCAAATTCTGAAGACTTTCAAGGTAATTTATTGTCTACCAGCATGTGTTTCATGGTTTTACTTGGATGAGCTGCAGCAAGGCATGCTGAACAAATATTTTATCTTGGCGACCACGCTGCCTTTAATGTAGCTATATCGTGGAGAAGCGACATTATTCAATATGTAGCAAGTTCGAATGACTTTCCCTACAGGCATTCATGTTTAAATTACGTCGGGGGAAAAAAAATAGATCTGTTGATCTGGAGTTTTAATGTGTTTAATTTTATTTTACCACGGGAAACTCGAAGGGGCGTATGCTATGTATTCTTAGTCGTCGGTCTACTCACTGAGCTACAGATGGCAGTAGTGTGCATTACAGACCGAGCTAGGGACAAGGTTACAAACACTCTGCCTCTTCACTGCAGTGGAGAAAGTTTAGGGTTGACAAACATATAAACTATGAAAGTTAAAAAAAAAAAAATCTCTATCACAAGAATTGCCTGCAACCCTACAAATACGAATATTCGTAATAATATAAATTAGGTGTGGGGTACGGCATGATTGTGGAGGAGCAGAAATCGGAATTTACGTCAAGGTTGTTCACACTTCAGACTGTTCACACAAGCGTTCGTCTGCTAGTTTAGGCATGCTCTCAACAGTGTTATAGAGTAGGGATTTAGCGAAATGAAAATTGTTGGCCGAAC